TAAAGCAGAAACAGCGCACACGGCAGGATAGTAAAGAAAGTCTCTTCGAATAGGAGGGTGAAGTCAAACCCATTGTGACAGTCGGCGCCAATAGTAGGACCAAAGACGTTCTGAGCAGCAATATCACACATTGTTGCCTAACTTTTCTGATCCCGTCCCTTTCTTCCTATCTTCCTGAAACAAAGAAAGTGGCAGGGGAGCGGGTTTTAGCTCGCCTGCAGCAGTCGTAGACCTGCTTAGGGGCGAGGGCTGACATGGTGGTATCATTGAGTGGGTGTGTGTCTGAGTATTTTGGGGGCGAATTGTAAATCCAAAGTAATCCTTGTATATAATGTGTATTAACCATACAAGATACCGATGTACTACCCGTAACACCGTAACCGCCCTCTCTTTTCCTCATCTCCAGGGCTATTTTTAACTACACATGTGGCTTCTGGGCCCTCTCTAACACGTCTCATCACATTTCCTCTTCTCCAAGGCAACCATAATAGCAGGGGTGTTTATATTTCTCCAGGCATCAAACATTGATATAAACTAACTTGCTAGGGCGCTTATCTACCTTTGAAATGATTCCGACTACATCTTTTTCTCCTACACCCTCGTGTCGGTTAGACATTGTGACGTAATATAGTCATTTCACCTCCAATTTCTTTCTGTGTCATATCTTCTTATAATTATGCGATTTCCGATCTCGGGGTTGTTCTTTATGGTGGTGTCGGCCATGGTGGCCCGGGCATCGCCTGTCCAAACTCCTGTCCCCCAGCCCAGAGCTGGAGTGTTCCCACGGGATGTCGCCCCCACTACAGCAACAAACCCAGAGCCCACCACCACAGCGACCACCACGACGGCCACGGGCTTCCAATTGACCTTGAGTTTGGATTTGCCCTCTGACACTTGTACGCCCACCATAGCGCCTGACAAGTATGGTTGGGTACCGCCCTCGGAGTGTGACGCCTTGTACCTCTACTACCCGTCTTTTGGAGCTGCGATCGCTGCCGCCGTAATTTTTGGTATCCTTACTATAGCCCACTTTGTGCAGGCGACTATGTACAAGGCGGGCTTTGCCTGGGTCGTCCTCATGGGTGTCTCGTGGGAGGCCGTAGCTTACGCCGTCCGCGCCTTCAGCACTCGCAATCAGCAAGATGAAACTGTTGTGACCGTCGCCCAGATGTTTATTCTTTTGGCACCATTATGTATGACCCAGGACTTCTTACCTGCAAAGCCTCAATTCTACGATACTAATTTTGAATATAGGGGTGAATGCCTTCGATTACATGGTTCTAGCACGGATGATCCATTTCTTCGTCCCCGAGCGTCGCATCGGCATGTTCAAGCCCTCCTTGCTAGCCAAGGTATTCGTCTTGCTCGACATCGGCTCCTTCATTGTCCAAATGGTCGGTGGATTTATGGCCACTGGTACGGGTGAGCAACAGATGCACGGCATCCACGTCTACATGGGCGGCATCGGCATCCAGGAGTTCTTCATCGTGTGCTTTTTAATTCTGGCCGTGCAGTTCCATCGAATGATGCTGCAGCTGGAGCGGGCTGGCCGACTGCCTATCGAGAAGCAGAGGTGGCGTCCACTGCTCTACGCCCTGTATGGAAGTCTAATCGCCATTACGTGGCGCATCATCTACCGCTTGATTGAATTTTCCTCTGGCTACGGGGAGTCAAATCCCATTCCATACCATGAATGGTATATGTATGTGTTTGATGGTATTCCGATGGCCTTGGCTGTCCTCGTCTGGAACATTGCGCCGCCAGGTGCCGTGTTACAGGGTCCGGATGCGGAAATGCCTTCCAGTGGCATCGGCAGGTGGCTCTGCTGTAACGGCTGTGCCTGTTGCTGTCGAAGCTGCCGGAAGGACGGCAAGAGAAAGAAGAATATGCAGCGACTATCTGATAGCGACATATATGACGATGTTGTGCCGCTCCACAGCCGAGAACCATCCCCCTACCGCGATACACAATACAATAGCCGTCGCTGAGTTAGTGTTTGATGCGGGTTCATTCTTATTCACTTTCGCCTTCTTCGTCTCGTTTTCTTCTCTTTTTCTTGTCTTTTCATTCTGCATCGCGTCCTGCTCTTTTTCTTTCCGTCGTACGCGCATCTGAAAACAAACATTTGGACCAGGTGTTCAATGAAGGGCAGCGCTCGGACTTGTTATAGAGGTCTTACATATACCCATGGACTTGCGGATCATTCAGGCTCATACATTTTTTACTTGACAGATAGATAGATAGTGACAAATGAAATCTATAAACTCAGATCAAAAAGCCCATCTCTTAAAAATCACTGTAGTATCCCAGAATCGATGAACTCGCATCACCGAAATGCGCTGGCAGCGAATCCAATGAACCAAAGAAACCCAGCGCATCTGACCCCGGCTTTCTCAAGCTAGCGTAAATATCCTGCTGGTCTGTCTCTGCAGGGGTGGATGGATACAGCCCCACACACTGGAGAACCTCCTCCGGTGGCGCCGTTCGGCGTCCATCCTTGAACACATATCGAGTCACTGCGACAGAAAGAATGGCTTTCTGTGCGTCTAGTCCCTCCTTACTCTGCTCCCCCTTTTGCAAGGCTCGCATCACGCCCTCGTGGGTCCCTGCCTTGACGAAATAGCTCACCAACACCAACCACTTTGCGTCCCACGACAGTACACGAGACCAGACCTCGTATCGCTGTAAGGGCTTGATCTCGCGCTTGAAAACACACGACGTTCCACCCAGCGCGATGCTCACAGTTTTTTCACGTTTCTTCGACTTCTGGGTATCTGTTCCGGGGCCCTCGGTGGCCAACTCGGGTGTAGGTGCCCAGCGTGGCAGGTGTGGGAAAAGGCTTAGGAGCAATTGCGCTCGATTGATGTCCAGATCGGAGAAGAAGGTGCTGTTTGATTTGTGCATATTGTAGTCACATTCCATCAGGACATTTTGATGCGAGGTCACCAGATATGAGAAGAGGAAAGGAATCCCTCCAGACTTATCGTCGACCAGAATCCCATTCGCATCGATCTGACGGGGAGACAATCGAGTCCGCACGAATTGGGTGAAAAGACCCTTCAATACTCGCATCTAGAAATTCAAGGATAACGAGTCAGCAAATTATCAAACAAAGGAGGAATTTTCCTTTCGAGGGCGCGTTAATTCATTCCACCTACATGCCATACACCTGGAAATGTCTTCAGGTTGAGCAACACTGCGCCTGTGAGGACCGCGAGGAGCGCATACTGCATATACCAGTCATCCGCCCCTGCGAGCGTGCTTAAGACCGGCATTGGGATCTTGTCACCACCACTGGAACTGGAAGATACCAAAAGACAAAAACAAACGCGTTCACCGAGAGGGTTGTCTTCGTTAGGCGCTTTGCTTTTGTTTCAAGGCTCGGCGAATCTCCGGCGCCTGCGAAATCTTCAGGCAATTTATTTGTTAATTTACACTAGAAGTACATAGATATTTGTAGGCTTCACGATACCGGTATGGCTAATAGTAGTATGTATCATGTAGTACAATGGGTGTATGTAATATATGTACTAAGTTTCACTGTTAGAATATTACAACTGAAATTGGTATATTGAACGCGTATGGTATGGAAGGTAACTATGTATGTATGGACTGTGGCTGGTATGGTGGGTATGGTACCTGTGTATTCATACAAACGGACGTGCAAGTTGTATGATACGATGATCTGAGGTGAGCATGTATTCATGTAAACAGACCAGATTCAACACATATGGAGCAGATGGTCAGATAATCTAAACGAGCCCGACAAAGTCCGAACTTGAAATCGCTTCACAACTTGGGCTGACTCCCTGGGGTTGTATCTGGTACCCATCATGCTCTGGAGTCCACTCGACGAGAAAGGCCGACAAGCCGGTGAGTAGCCCGACCGTATCTGATCTCACGGTTCAAACCCTAATGAATTAACAGTAACTGAAGGTACAGCCCTCGATCCCCTCAGCTGCCTTGGCAATGCCACCACTGCGGCTTACTATCACCGCTCTGCGGCTCTCCCACTCGAATCTCTGCAGCCATTGGTCTATGACGCCCTCTCCCGAGTGATACTGCAACATCCAGCAATGGGGGCCCTCCATGGCACGGTGCAATTTGTTCAGCTACGGGATGGCCGAGATGAAGAGGTGGACGCGCTGGTGGAGGAACAACAGAACATCGGGTTTCCGCAACCCAATGAGCAGGCGTCATGCTGGCGTCTTATTATTGCGTACACATCTCGACGAAGTACCGTCTCTGATATGGTAGCTTGTTTTGTGGTAGGTGAAGCCACCAAGGATCAGTTCCACGGGGTAGACTTGCATCGATCATTCTTGGCTGCGTTGTTGCTGGTCAACGAGGCAGAACCATTGAAACAGCCATCAGAATATCCCAGTCCGAAAGATTCACGACGTCTCTCTGCGGTTTCTACATCACGGCAGGGAAGGAGAACCAACCATACCAAATGCCAATCTCGGTTCAAGACAGTAACACTTGGAACCACGGACACCGCCCGTCTCCTAGAAAATTGCTTTGCCAGTACGACAACTCTCACTGGTGTCATGCAAGCGGTCTTGGTGGCGTCGCTGTTTGTCAACTTGCCATTGGAATTCACCACCATGCGTACTACAGGCCAGATATCGCACCCGACCGCCACACCCTGCGCTAGATATATTGCGACACATAACAGAGCACAGGGATGGAATATGCCTTCCGTTTGGAACGAGGCTCGGCGCATCCGCATAGCCTCGGAGGCCGGGCTCAGTGGAAAGGTGAGAAGCAATAGTCTAGTTGGTTTTCTTCGACGCGAGGGAGGTCATAGCTTGTTTGATACGAAAGACATTAGAGATACCAGTGGAGTCAGCGTTGCGGTATCCAGCATAGGAAGCTTCCAAGATCCAAAATCGTCTGAGTCCGAAACACAGCGAGAATGGCAGACAGGGAGGATTGTATCCAGCAATGATAGTAATGAGGTCAGCGCTGCTCTGTGTGTCACACTTGTTGCCGGAGGAGATGGTTGTTTGACAATAGGGTTTTCCTGGTTAGAAGATATTGTCGAAGAGGTTTGGCTTGACCGGGTTATCGTCACCATGAGAAGGCTGGTTCGAGAGCTTTTGCACACCAATGGTGCCACGAAAACAAAAGCAATGGTATCAGAACCCTGGGGAGGTTCGGTGTCTCGGCTTGTCTGTCTGGTCAGGGACCTCATGTTGGATTAAGTCTCCTCGTACTAGACAGATTTTGCCTCCTCCGGTAGCTTCGTCCTAATAATATTTAAGCAAGGAAATTCGAGCATTCGCAATAGATACATATTCGTAAGATGCCTCGAATGCTCCCACTATTCCTTGTTAGAGCCAACACTACATTCGCTAGTAGCCATACGCCTGGCTAAATGGTCTTCGTATATAAAATTGTTTGTTTGATTTTCATCTTCTTTTTATCGATAGCAAGGTACAAGGAAACAAATTCGTTTTCGGGGTATCCGACGTTAGATTTACTAGCCAAAGCGTCAAGCCTATAGCATGACGATACCAACACCTCCCATCTTCGATTCATCGGGCAAGTTTTTCTCGTTAATTCCACCACCAATAGGTGCAGCGCGGTAGTTATATAGGTAGAAGTGGAGCTGGCCATCACCGGCACCGAACTTGAGGTCCTCGAGGAAGAGGGGGTTGTCGTGCGAGGTGAGAGCATTGAAGACGTCGAAACGGGCCTAGAACAAATCGAAAAAGATGCGATTAGCACCTAGAATCAAGATATAAAACATTGCAACATACCTGCTTTGCGCAAATCAGGGCGTCGTTGATCAAGAGCTGCAAGCGCGCCTTGAAAGCCTGCTTGTCATCAGAGAATGCGGTCTCGGTCGCGTAGTAGTACAGGTATGCGGCATGGACGGCATCATGCTTGGGGTTGTCGATCACAGTAGACTCGAGATTGTAGAACGAGACAAAGTCGGTGATCTTGTGGGTTTCCGGGTCTTCTGCAACGTATGACCAGACAACCTGGTCCTTGCCGGGCTGCTTCTTGTACACCAGCCAGTGATCGATTTCTTCCCTTGTAAAAGCCTGGTTCATATCGAAGCGCCGCATGTATCGCTCCAGCAGATCATAGACGGCATCGATGTCCTTGGATTCCATGGGGCGCAAACCGGGAGTCGACGTCTCGCTAGGGAGATGATTCTTAGTGACCTGGCGGGCCTTGGTCGAGCCATGAGGCAGAGGCGAGAATCCAACATCGTAGAGTTTCAACCAATCCAGAGAACGGTGGTAGTACCGGCAAGAGCTGACGGGTGTGGGCAGGATTATACCGCCAGTGTAGATGGCCTGGTAAATGCCCCTGATGTAGCAGCGGCGGGTAATCTCCTTAATCAAAACGGGAGTCAGGCGCTTGGAGCGGAGCTTCTTGTGAATACACAGGAAGTTGATCTCCGTCACCTTGAGGCGCTCGCCACGCACGCGGAGTTCAGTCGGGACACCGCAAATTGATGCAACCAGCTTGCGCGACTTGGTGGCGCGCACCCCGACATGCCATTCCTTCTTCCATCCGGGTGACATTAGGGCCCTATGTATGCAGCATTAGCGTTCTGAGATAGGTACACAAGTCCATGGCTCAACCCTACCAATGAAGGAAGGATTCCGAATAGTTGAAACGGAACATGGCGTTATCATCCTCGACGTAATGCTTGTTAAGGAGCTCGTAGAGCTCTTTCAGCTCCTCCTCGTTCGTCAGGTCAAGGGTGCACCACTCGAATCCCTCAATGAGCGCATCGGGGGTCTTGGAAACCTTCTCTGGGTCGATGATCTTGATAGGCCCCTGAGCAATCTGCTTCTTTCCGGCCTCTTCAAATGCAGGCACTGGCTGTGTCTGCCAAAACTTGTACGAGGCCATATCCTTCTGGTTCTTACCTCCCACCGCCAATCCAGTCAGCATCTGTGAGAGGTCCATGTTGTGCAGTAGGGCCGCGGCCTGGTCCTTGTCCATCGCAGCTAGCTCGCTCTTCAGGGCCGGGTTTTGTTCGAGGAGTAAGGAAGCGAACTTTGCGGGAAGCTTCTTTCCTGCTTCTAGAATTCGAACGTCAGCAGTTGCGCAACTGCGGGCTAGGGTCATTGGTGCATAGTAGGGAAGGCTGGATAGAGGGGCCTACCATTATCCGAGTCGGATGGAGCACCAAACTCATTTTCATTGCGCTCGGGAGCCTTGCCCTTTTTATCGCTGGAATCAGACATGATGTGTTGGGGTGTTGTGGAAGAAGGAATTGGATTGGGCCCCACGTTTCAAACGCCGCGGATCTCTGGTGGGGGATTCTGAGGGCAATTTGACTTAATAATACTACGACGGCTCAACACAACTCGCTACGCACGCTATTTATGGCGGAAATAGTTATTGGCTATTATTTATGGACACGTTTCACCTTGTGCGGAGTACTCAGTTCTCCACTGTGAAGAGTGAAGACCCCTGCTCAATGATAAACCTTTAGTGGCCTACATCAGGAACCTCGGCATTCGCATATGCAAAGCCCATGTAGATCTAAACGTACAGGGTTTCAAATATGGTATCATTGTATAAATTAAGATCGAAGAATTGTTGAAATCCAAGCAAAAACACCTCTATGTCCGTTCTATGCTGAGTCAAAGGCATATCTCAAGTGTTGATACAAGAATGCAAGAGTCATTGGAGCTCCGAGCTACCAACCATCGGGAATCACGCATCAGTAGGTGGCTTTGTCTCAAGCACATCCAGGAATCCTCCGACCAAGTGTAGGCTGCCGGTCACAAAAGTCATGACCGGAGCTTCGTCCTTCTGTAGGACATTGGGTTCCTGACCCGCAACTTCCCGCGCAAAATCAACAGCCTCCTCGATTGTACCAAAAACATGTGTTTGAGTGCGAGGGTCAATAGCATTCCACTCCAGTGAAAGAGATTTCTGGACTCGAAGGAGTTCGAGGTCGTCAGCGTTGGTGTTCATACTGACCAAGTCGGGTCGGAAGCCGGCCTGTTTGTAGGTGATATTCGTGCAGAACAGGGCATGAGTGAATGGGGTATCGTTTCCAAGGACAGACGCAAGGGTCTCGTGGAGAGCACGAGCAAGAGCTGTGCTGTTACGAGTCTGTTGGTTGAAAATCAAAATCCGTGGCTTTTTGGCGGCTACATCCTCGGATGATGAGTCGGCCTGAATCCGCGACGCAAACCACTGGCCGGCCAGCCGGATGCTCTCCAAAGTGTGCCCACCATCGATATACCAAGATACATTCTTTTCAAATCGGGTCTCACACCTGCCACCTAGACGAGTTTCCTCGAGCCCGGTCTTGAACTTCGCCGGCAGTGGTCCTTTCATGATATGGTCGGGAACTTCGATGCCAACCTGGCGCAAGAAGTCCGCGGCAGCTGCCACTGCCAATGATGCGTTGGTGTACTGGAAGTCTCCAGCTAACCCAAGGATGATCTTGCTGCTCTCAGGACGAAGCTCTGAATGGCCACGCACAATTTCCAGCTGAGCGCCAGCCTCCTCAGCGCGTTTAGCCAAGACTTGTTCCGCACCCAGAGGTTGTGGTGCCGCAAACCCATTTATGCCACGCTTGAAAATGCCAGCCTTGTGCCACGCGATTTCCTCAATCGTATGTCCAAGCAGATCAACGTGATCAATGCCAAGACTACTGACCGTTGTCACCTTGGGTTCTGGGATCACGTTGGTACAGTCATATTGACCACCGATTCCACATTCGATCACCGCGGCGTCCACGCCCTCGCTCAAGTAGGTATGGAATGCCATCAGGGTCAAGTACCGGAAATATTGTGGTTTCGCCCCGGGCCCGGTGGGATCTTCGCCCGCCAGTTTAGCAGAGTTCTCAAGGCGATCCCATACTTCGAAGAAATAACGCGCAAACTTCGCTTCGGATAATGGGGCATTGTCGATCTTGATGCGCTCACGTGCGAACCGAAGGTGCGGGGAAGTGAAGAGACCGATCTTAAGGTTGGATCCAGGTTGATCCGCATCTTTTCGGGTATATTGGGAGAGGATGGTGGAGATGAATGCGGAGGTCGAGCCCTTGCCTTTCGAACCGGCGACATGAATTGCGTTCAGGCGATTTAGGTCGGCAGGCTAGGAAACGTAAAGATCTCGCATTAGCTCCACTCATAAGGAAATAAGGCCCTGCAATCAGCGCACCTTGTATCCAATGCGCCGCAACCACTCCACTGTCTGCGGGAGAGATAGCTCGTTCATCTCCTGCCTCGTTGTGGACTTCTTGAGCGCCTCCACAATCGCATAATTAGTCTGCAATGAGTTGAGAGATGCAATTGCACCCTATGCATTCCAAAGTCAGCATATGCTATATTTTGACTGAAGTAATCCCCTGTCGCAAAGCCCCGAGTAGCATACCTCATATGTTCGAGTCATGGTGGGCGAATGAGTCGAGAATCGCCGTGCGCAAAACGGCCAGCGAATAGAGGTCAAAATCCCTCTCATGGACAAATTAACCCCGTGCCTAGAGTCCTCAGATGAGCAGGGGTGGTTAAAGAAACCCCAGTAGCTCTAACAATTTATGATTCTCTGGTTGATCCCCCGCTCTCCTCGGGAAACCCGTTTGGCACTGATCGGGAAGATCACGTGTTCGTTAACATACATAGAAGTTAAGTGATGTATATAAATGGTTGTTGCTGTTTCATAAACAGCGAATTAATACATTCACAAATAGGTTTGTATAGTATCAGCAGACATATTGCAGTATTCGGTAATTATGTACGAAGTTACAGCAAGAAGAAGTGACCAATGGACAGCACTATCATGACTATGAAGTCATATACGCATATGGCTTAATGAAGAAAAAGAGAGGTACGTGAATCCCCCAGGAGAGGTGAATATGTATGAGGTAGGAAAGTACAGAAAACCCTAGAGTCTGATTTGATACATAGGAACACGCACTTTAAGCACAACATATCTGAGTCGCAAGATGAGGTATTGTAGAAAGATGGATGTAGGTCTTCGAAACCGTTCATGCATTGGCTAAGCTCTCGAGAAATTTGAGGGAGAATCCGAGCAGCAGGGACAATGTGGACCGATTTAAAAAATCGCAAGCAGCAGCATACAGCTGGAAATTCTCGTGCTTCCGAGCAAAGAGACAATGTATCAAACAGAGATGAAAGGTGATTAGAATTGAATCGAAGGGGCAAAAAAGAGAAAGGAAAATGCCGGCGGCCCTGTAGTGCTGAAAAGAATGGTAATAAAACATACAGCCATGGGAGTATAGAGAATATGAGAACAAAGGGGAGAGAGAAACAGCCCAAAACGCCGGAATGAGTGAAACATTTACTCAATCCTAGTCTTGCCTTCTTCCAAAAAGACGAGACGGGCATTGCTAATACCACGCTGGTGCCGTTTGGCAGGAAGCCAATTACCGATGATGGGATCAGAGCGTGCTTTGATGAGAGCATCCTGGTACCCCTCAGCGCCAGCGACTGGTGTGTTTAGCTTGGGCCAATTGACCTGACGGGAAAAAGGTCAGTGGGACAATACTTCAACTTGGTCAGGATGGAAATGAACTTACATAGAGCATGCCGTGTCCATACACGAAACGGAAACAGTAGACCGCCACCAGCAACCAGAATAACATAAACAGACGAAGCGGCCAGACAGCGGCATCAGGCAATCGTCTTGTGAAAAGCGCGACAAAAATCATGAACATACTAGCAGCGAGAACATATGGAACTGACTGGATGACAAGTGGTCGCTGGTCAAGGAATAGCTGAATGTTGGCAAATGTTGAATCCGAAGGGAGATAGGTGCCCAAAAATACGTCGAAACCATCTTGTCGAGGGCCATCCATGAAGTTGTTGCGCACATATCGCGTGATGGAATTGTTCAAATCTTGCACCATGCCGGCCCGCGTGCGTTTGCCAGTCCGAGTGAAATCAGTCTTCAGGGCGCCAGTACCGGAATAAGACTTGGAGACTACATCTGCGTTGTCTGCCCAGATATTCCGGAACAGATCTTCAAACTCCCGATCATCGTTGGCAGTCTCCCCGGGACGGAGAACGCCTGCATCCATAAGTTGCCGTGTAACCGCCCAGCGGCCGAGCATGCTCTGCACTACATTGGTGCGGTCCAGACAATCCATACAGTTTGTTCGGACAACACTCGTTTGCGTAGAACGAGTATCCAACTGCCCACCAGGGGCACCAGGACTCTCAACTCCGCGGAAATAACCGCCCTGGGTCAGCCCGTCGTTCAGACGGCCCATGAGCAACTCTGCACGATGCCACTTGAGGCCCTTAGTCTCGTTGTGGAAATCAAAGTACACATAATGCAAGCGATCCATCTCTTTTTGCTTGAACCCTGATTCCAGAACATGCATTTTTTCAGGGGTGCGTTCGTCAGTCTCGGTGCTTTCAGATGTGGACGTGACTAGCGTGCGAACCAACTGCTCGTATGCGCGCTTGACATTCTCCTCCCTGCCCTTTTGGTTGACGAGATTGACCATGTAATTCTCTCCATAGATGCGAATCTGTTCGACGAAATGCTTCCGCGCAGCCTCGACGGAAGTCTCAACGCCACGAACCTGAAGTTTCGGTGTGTATCTGAGATCGTTAACTTCAGCCCAGAAGACGGGCACGCTGCCTCGAGTTTGCACAAAAGAGTAGACTTGAAGATCTTGTCCAGCTTTGTCACTAGTCATTGATTGACCTCCACCAAACCCAGATAGTCCACCCGCCGAGTCATTCAAGATCACAATCTGCTCGGTCTCGTTGTAGTTTGAAACATGGCCTTGCTCGTCGATTCCGCGAGAGAAATATCTCGTTCCGGCTCGGTGTCTGGATCGCCGGGTGATAAGCGCGAAGGTGAAGGATGTTGACTTCACTCGGGCAGGAGTAATGCGCATCATGCCGAACATCACTGGCAAGATGTAGGGGTCTGCCCCTGGTTGGGGGCCGTAGCGAATTCCACTTGTGTCGTTTACCCCGAGGCTGAAATCGATCAGATCGGATTGAATGAAGCGATTCCAGAAGAAGCGGTCGTCTGCGCCCTTCCACATCGGAACATTGTGGGCAGTTTGTGACTGTCGCTGGAAACTATTGGTGACATCCAGCGAGTAGGAGAAGTACATAGGTCCCTTTCGAAGCAGCTCTTTCACCAAGGTGAGATAAGCATCTTCGTCGGTGTCGTGAAGCGGCCGTTCTCGCATAGGGAGGAATTCTGTTCCGGCGACTTTGTACACCATATGGCCGCGCAGCCGTCCCATGGGCTGGGCTTTGGTGATAACAATGATGTATTTATCTGCGAGTGTCAGCGCAACCTCCTGAGTTTCTAATTGTGAGCGCAATTACCTAGCTTCAACTTGAGAATTCCGAGAATTCCAGCAATACTCGAAATGCGCTTAGCACCTGGAAGGGGGCCATCGTTCAAGCGTAAATCACCAGTTGGTCGGTCGACTACCAGAGTGGGTGCTTGGCGTGATGATGGCGAAGTAAAGGCATAGTGGGAGGGCGATGCGTGTAGGTTGATATCCCGAAACGGGAGAATAGTAGGAGCCATGATTGGAAACAATGACCTCCTTGAAATGAATGATTACAAGGGAATGTGAAAAGGAACAGGCATCAAAAGTAAATCCAAGTGTCCCTCCTAAAAAGACACAAGAGACCTCGGGAAGGTACAAAGTAACGGCGGGCCACTCTGGTCAGTACGCAGCCACACCGCCCCGCTGCTCCTGTGGCTGGGCCTTCCGTCATCTATTCCTGTCTGCCTCAAACTACGAAGGTCTTTGAAGTGTCTCGAATCTTTAAAGTACCCTTTGGATCTCCCATTTTTTCTCATCTTATTCCGGGTCTTGAGACCTTGAATCACATATCTCAGTTCCTCGACCGTTTCATCTTCCTTCCTTCGACCCTCCCCAGACCCTCCATCCTCTCCTGATCATGGCTTCCAGACAAGCAGCAGGAGCCCGCCCGGGCGCAAGATTTGCCCAGTTCAAACTCGTCCTTCTTGGTATGCTCTGGCGTCTATTCGCTACTTTTCTTTTCACTTTGGACGTATAGGCTGACATGATGTGGTTCATAGGAGAGTCCGCCGTCGGAAAGGTTTGGAATAACACTTGCGATCTTCTTTATCAGCCGCTGACTTGACCGCTATCTTCCAGAGTTCGCTAGTCCTCAGATTCGTTAAAGTGAGTCCTCGACGATTGCCACATTACTTCCCGCGGCGAGCCGAACGCATATGGAGTAATAAAATGCTAATCTCGGTTCAGGACCAATTCGATGATTATCGCGAGTCGACGATCGGAGCCGCCTTCCTGACACAGACCATCTCTCTCGATGATACCACCACAGTCAAGTTCGAAATTTGGGATACCGCTGGCCAGGAGCGGTATAAGTCGTTGGCTCCAATGTACTATCGCAATGCCAACTGCGCTGTGGTTGTCTATGACATCACTCAAGCTGTATGGGCCATTCCTACATCATGCCTTTGATTTCATCGCCAGTATAGAGGCTAACATTGCTGAAACTACCCTATAGTCGTCGCTAGACAAAGCCAAATCATGGGTGAAAGAACTCCAGCGCCAAGCGAACGAGAACATTGTGATCGCCTTGGCAGGCAACAAGCTGGATCTTGTCACAGAGAACCCTGATAAGCGAGCAATCGAAGAGGCCGACGCCGAGGCCTACGCACGTGAAGCAGGCCTGCTTTTCTTCGAAACATCTGCCAAGACCTCGACGAATGTCAAGGAACTATTCACCGCCATCGCCAAGAAACTGCCTCTGGATCAGGCCGGTCCTCGGAACATGCGGGCGACTCCTCGGCCCGGCGTTGACTTGCGACCAGAGGCCCCTGGAACTCAGGGTGCCGGTGCGTGCAATTGCTGAACAGTTACCCGATCATATTCCCCCTTAGCCAGTGCGCCCTCGCTTCACCCACCGTTTGAGAGAAGGCGAAGGGTACACATCCCAGCATCATTCAACGGTGGTATAACTCTGTGACTTTCTATGATTTTGCCAGTGTCATTCGATCAGACTCTGGCACCATTCTCTACCCGCTACGGAGCCGAGGGATAGATTCTCGGTCCATGGTCAATCTAACCATCTCGGATTTCCTTTGCTTCTTTTGTCCTTGCTCAGCCTGCTCAACTGAGGTCTCACAAGTCCACGTTGGCAGAAGGATTTAACTTCCATGAGCCACATGGAATTTGGCTTTAGACATGCTGCAGCTGGATCTGTCGGTGCTTTGACGGTGCTGTTCCTTCTGTACTCCTTGTCCCTTCTCACCTGGCGTCTGCATCTGCTCTTCTTTCTTTCGTCCCATCTCTTGGGCTGAATTCCTGCTATTCCCGTTACCCTTGTCTCCCTCAGAATTCTTAGTATGTTAAGCTCAAATAATACATTTTCCTCACCTGTATGTACGGTGGAGATCTAGAATATGTTAGTGGTGTAGCCAGATGAAATAGATAGATGATTTCTGTCTACCTTGGTTCTGGGTACAAACGACAAGTGTGGATATTTGTTAATTGCTTTTCAAATATATATATGCGTTGCTTGTGAAGATATATCCCTCGGTTGGTGTTGAAAACTGACCCCGAACACCTAACCAATGGCCAATATCCTGGACAAGGTGTTCCCATATTTATAGGCCAACCTCATTTTATGTTTTATTCTACTGAATCAAAGCCCCAGCTATACTTCTCTGATGTCAGCATGTACGGAACTGAGCATGAAATGGCGCGCAAAGCCACCCTGACCGCCCGCAGGATTATCGGGGCGGATCGCAACCGAGCAACCAAGTTCCCGTTTTCCTACTCATCCATCTTTCTGATCACCTTTAGCCACTAATTTTGGCGATTGTGCGGCTCGTTATGCTGCGCTCCTCGATTGCCCCGGGTCGGCAATTGCTGTCAAGCCCTGTCCGTCAACGGATCCCTTCGCAATGGCTGTCCAGAGCCGGTGTAAGCAACCGGCTGGCAGGTCAGGTAAAGAGAACCATATCCCCAAGCTTCCTATCTCTTCATACTCACAATAATCACGCGCAGCGATTCTTCGCTGATTCTAAGCCCCCTACCACTGGTGGTCCGACACCAGTTTCCCCTTCCTCCGAATCCAGCGTCCCTCCCGAGACGATCTCGAAGGCCGCTGAACAAGGTATGACCGACCCCTCGTTCATCAATTACCATTGAGGTCTTACCCCCATGTCCTAATGTGGTTTTTTTTCCGCAGAATCTAAGCTTCCTCCCTCGCCTCCGGCAGCTGCTCCCCGCAAATCCGGTCGTTTCCGTCGGTTCTTGATTTATTTGATCCTCACATCCGGCTTTGCTTATGGTGGCAGCATCTTCCTGGCCCTGAAGTTCGACAACTTCCATGATTTCTTTACTGAGTACATACCCTACGGTGAGGAATCCGTTCTTTACTTTGAGGAGCGCGACTTCTACCGCCGCTTCCCCAATGCGTTGAGACATCAAAACCGTCTCCCGGCCGCACCCCGAGAAGAGGGAAAGCCCGTCACAATTCCTAGCAAGAGCGGCCTGTCTTGGAAGGTTACTGAAGAACACAAGGCCGACGCCGATTCTAAGAAGACAGCGGCTGCTCACGAGGGACAAACCAAGCCCGCGGCCGCCAAACCCGAGGATCGGAACGCCGCAGTCATGAAGGCCAAGGAAGACAAGGCCTCGAAGCACAGCGCCAAGGAAGCGAAGCCCGAATTCGAGGCGAAGAGCCCGGTCTCACTGGACGAGCCCAGAAAACCTGCTGTTTCTGCGGGCACCATTGAATTGCTCCAGTTGCAGGATGGTGATGATACTGTTGTCCAGGATCTGGTTAAGACCTTCAACGACATCGTTACCGTCATCAGCGCCGATGAAAACTCCAGCAAATACTCTGCGCCTGTCGCCAAGGCCAAGGGCGAGCTGGAGAAGATTGCCGAGAAGATCGCTGCTATTCGTGGTGAGGCTCGCAACACTGCCCAGGAGGAGCTTAACAAGCTACATGCTACCTTTGATGAGTCGGCACGTGAATTGATGCGCCAGTTTGAGGAAGTGCGCTCCACTGATCTTGCTTCGTTCCGTGAAGAGTTCGAGGCCGAGCGCGAGAAGCTCGCCCTGGCATACCAGCAGAAGGTTAGCACCGAGCTCCGCCATGCTCAGGAGCTTGCTGAGCAGCGTCTTCAGAATGAGCTCATTGAGCAGGCCATCGAGTTGAACCGCAAGTATGTCCACGAGGTAAAGAGCCTGGTCGAACGCGAGCGTGAAGGCCGTCTGAGCAAGTTGGCTGAGCTTACAGCCAACATTAACGAGCTTGAGAAGCTCACCGCTGGATGGAGCGACGTTATCGACGCCAATCTCAAGACTCAGCAGCTGCAGGTCGCCCTGGACGCCGTTCGCACCGTGGTCGAGCGTGCTGAGAACCCCCGGCCGTTCGTCCGTGAGCTTCTGGCCGTGAAAGAGCTTGCTGCTGGTGATGCCGTGGTTGAGGCCGCCATCGCATCTATCAACCCCACCGCTTACCAGCGTGGTATCCCCTCCACTACTCAGATCTTTGAGCGTTTCCGCCGAGTCGCGAGTGAAGTCCGCAAAGCTAGCTTGCTGCCCGAGGATGCCGGTGTGGCAAGTCACGCTGCCAGCCTTGTTCTGAGCAAGGTCATGTTCAAGAAGGATGCTTTGTCCGAGGGTGACGACGTGGAGAGCGTTCTGGTGCGCACTGAGAACTTGTTGCAGCAGGGCGATATTGACGCCGCCGCTCGGGAAATGAACACTCTGCAGGGCTGGGCTAAGATTCTCAGCAAGGACTGGTTGGGTGATGTCCGCAAGGTTCTTGAGGTCAGACAGGCTCTCGAAGTAAGTTTTTGTTTCATCTTTCGGTTTGGCAATTTGCAGTAGATCCACTGACAACGTTTCTTTTCACAGGTCATCGAGGCCGAGGCCCGCCTCCAGTGCTTGCGGGTTGAGTAAGCGCATACTTTGAGCGAAGCTGAATTCATTTTACCCTGTATATCCTCATCATTTACAGGAACTGTACCTCTAGTTGTACTTGTGCTTTAGACCCAAATGCTAGAACTTTCCCATGTCCCTTCACTCGTCTAATGGTAGCATATAGCCTCCATGCTTAAGAGCTAAATATATCTTTTGGCCTAAATTTGATCACGAATAAGTTTTATGCTAGACTCTGGGGTTTCGTGGCCAGGGCTGGGTACGAATAAAGTGATTACGTAACATTGCCTGACGCGCATTTCGATCTACACTGGGGATGTTGCGTCTTTGTAGGCTGATTGTGCAACATTGTCTTTTAATTTTCGCTGGTATTTGAACCCTTGCCAAATTCGAAGATCGCACTTATGCTCGTCTCTGGCCAAATTATGTCCGTCTCTTTCTCGAACGTTGCCATCTAGCATTGTTGCCTTCCTGCAGCAATGTCGCAACGACCGAACGAGCCCCTTGTACGATCTTCAACGTCTCCGGCGAATGGACGACATGGAGATATATCCCCAGAAGCTGCGTCACCCTTAATCCGATCATATGAAGGCTCATTTCGCCAGACCCCGCCCCGAAAGAACGACCGGCAAACGAGCGGGGAGTTAGAGGGGACTACACTGGGCAGCAGTTCCCGTGATGGAGATCGAAGGACACCGGGACAGCGGAGGAACCAGAGCTCAGGTGGCTTCTTGCTTGACTCGTTGCCTCGCCCGCGAAGCACGAGAGTTAGCTTGCACCGCCCTCGCCCCTCAGAACCTCCCCAAGAGAAGCGCAGCGCTCCCGAAGCGGATATCGTGGTCCCCAAGAAACGCTCGCGGTTTCCATGGAGCCGGAATAAGCGCCATGCATCTGAAGTAATGCCAGAAAATGCAAGTTCAAGCCCGATCAGTGCTCGGCAAGCTTCTACGCCTCCTGATAGACAGTATTCTGCAAGCTCCTCGCTGCCCGAGGTACAGCAAGACAATGTGGCACGTTCAACTCCTTGTCTCGATAGGGACTCGATCCAGATCGTGAATCTAGCCTTGAGCCTTAATGAATCTCGGAGGAGGACTGCTTCTGGAATACCCTCGGGCTCTGAGAACCGAGGGCCAATATCTGTCTCTCAACCTGCTGTTTCGACAGCAGACAGATACGCGTATTCCCCACTAGCGAGGAAGTTCCAGCCCGACTCGCCGTATCGCGATCTTACTCAGGTGTCTGGTAATCGTTTATCGCAGGGGACACTGCCCAGCTTAGAGCAATCGTCTGTTGTGAATTTGTTGCCTCCATCCGCGATTGAGGATCACCGGGCATACGAATTCTCCGAAAGCACTTTGGCTCGTGCTGAGAGAGCACGGAATCATTTCGATTTATTTCACGAATATATGCGGCTACTGCCCTCATTACCACCTCTCCGAGATGCAGTCAATCATGACTCTGAGTCTAGACCACAGAATCCCAACCGAAGTTATAACCCGCTTCAAATGATTCGCAACCGAAAAGTCAGGTATCGCGAGAAATGCTCCATCGATCCAGCTGCGGAAGGATGGCACGACGTTGAAAGAGTCCACCAGTGGATCAGTGACGTCGCGCAAAAATACAGCCAAAGAGAGTACGACCGAGTAGATTGCTTGAAGCTTCCACCTTTCCAACAAGGTCGCCGCCATGTATCTATTGGAGAACACGAAGATATGGATATGATGCCTACGTCTCCGGGATCGAGCTTGCGACGAGTAAGCCGAACCAGCAGCATGAAGGCCCGTCGACCACGTATTGATTGGAAGATCTCACCAGCAGAGCTTCTGGCCGATGCTGCTTGGCTGGAATATGGTGCCAATAAGACGAAGGTGGTTGACAAGGATGGCTATAAACTCTACCCTGACCCCACAGAATTAGTTATCATGGACACAAGCGAGGATCTCGGGACGTCTCATAAGCAGCAACGCCTTTCGGCCGAAGTGGGAGATCACGCAGAGGCACATTCGTCACCGCGCACTTCTGTCTCCATTCCTCACCCCGCATTGGCGCAAGAATTCAAAAGTGTGGGTCGTGGGCGGCACAGGCATAAATTCCGAAGTCACTCGCACAGCTTACGCAGCCGTAGTACTTCCAGCAAACAAAAGCCGTCAGCATGGGATCATGTCAAAATGCGTTCGGGCAGCGTCTCCAGTTCCTCAAGCTCAGATACCCGCCCTTCTGTCGATGAAAAGCCTCGCAGGTCTTATGAGCACATCCGCGACCATGTCCAAAGATTCGTCGAACATGCACACTCAGGATCACGAATATCCCGCGGCAAGTCTCCGGCTGTTCGTGACGCCGACATTGATCGGGGAAGGACACCACAGCCAACCGACCCGTTGTCGGTCAATACGAATCAAGACCGCAAGCACAGAACAGGCTCTTTCTCATCGGCAGGCAGTCTTGACCGGCACGATACTCGTATGTCCCTGGAAGGCATGGATAGCACTGCGCCTAACTCTCCCGCTCGTGTTGGCTACTTCCCGAGCATAGCAGTAAATCTGTCACCCCCGTCAAGTCGATCCCCTTCGCCCGCAAAGAAGGGTCTCCGTCATAAGATTGTTTCACGTCACGAGCGCAGCAAGAGCAAACAAGCAGATCGAGAGCGAGAGCGGGAAGATGAATTGCCGGAGCCTGATACTTTGCGTCAGCGAAACCCGACGGCACTTGCACGAACGGAGGGCGCCTCCAAGCTCGAGCCGAGTCCTCTTCCTGATGTTGTGTCGTCATCGTATCCCGATGATCAAGGCACGCACGAGGGCAATCGGGTAGATGGACATCGGTCCCGTAAAGGGCCCCATCTCCCCGAATCAAAGCTACGAGGAATATTTAAGGGACCAGGTCGGATAGCAGAGATCGTGGGCAATGAGGTCTCCAAGGTCGGAGATCTTATCCTGAAGAAAGACGCAGATCCTGAATCTCGGAAATCATCGTCCGCCACCACTTTCGCATCAGATGATAGCGATTCTGATGAAGAATCCAGAGGCGACAGGAAGTCTGGCTCCAAAGGTCTTTTACGGCGCCTGCCAACATTTACAGATGAGCCTGGGCGATTGACTCGCAGAAATTCCGAGAAGAATTCCTCCCTAAGCTTTATTCCCTCTCTGCCGACCTTCACATCACCCCTGAGACAAGATGAACGAAGCGAAGCAGCAGAGGCGACCGACTTCGGCAGTCCTCACTATCGAGTTTCCCCTCCACGAAGTTATGGTTCTCGTGATTCCCCCAAGAAGTTCTCGCTGCCACGCAGCAAAACGCTTGATTTCAGCCCTTCTCTGCACACGGGACGGACAAAGCGCGACGAGATTAAAGACCCTTGCATCCCTTTCAGCTTAACACGGCCTCCTGTCACTGGGCTCGCCAACGCTCGAGCATCACCAGGGATTTCCCCGGAGGGAAGACGCACAGGGCTTTCAGGTGCTAGTCGTGCCTGGAGTATATCTGGGCGCAGTATCCACACCTTGATTGACAGCGGCGTACCTGGTAAACCAGAAGTCGAGCGCACACGGGCTCTTCTACTGTCATCAGGGATTAAGGCCCGGGAGATTACTCGCCGAGCCCACACTGCCCGTGAGCCAGCTCCTCCCTGGCTTCAAAGCTCCATGGGCCCTGGTGCATCTGTTCCACGAGTGACTCGGATCAGCGAGTTTGACCTCGCTGCTCAATGCCTCCTCCAGCGTTTCGAGCACACCCAACACTCGTTCCAACAATCCATGCATCATTTTTCCACCTCCACCTCGTCGCCTCTCCGAGCCCAGCTGAGGAACCTGGAAAACCTGGTCAATCATTCCCTGGCTCCGCGCGTCCGAACCACGGCAATTGACGCCGAGGACTTGTGTGTCCAGCTCAACACCACCAGTACACTCGCTGTTAAGCAGCTGAGCGATGCCCTTGACAAAGGCCTTCGTAAGCGTCGCCGTCGATTGCGGTGGATTCGCCGCACTGGGTTCATGGTTCTGGAATGGGCACTTGTTGCTATGCTTTGGTGGGTGTGGCTGATTGTCATGGCTTTCAAGCTTGTGCGTGGTGTCTTCCGGGGTGCCTTCACTGGTATCCGATGGGTCTTGTGGCTTTGATTTACAGGCTGCCCGCGGACATTTGGACATTTCGTAATCATCCATTTTCGGTGCCCACTACCCTTTTTGGGCCGTTTCTTTTTACATTGCCGTTTTTAACTCCATCGCCCTGTTGGCGCGCATATACCCTTCCAGCGAGCTTGTTTATGCCCGTTGTCTTCTCTTCAAATCCACCATATATGATTTAATGGAGCGTTGCATCTGTTTCACATGATTCCCAGAATATTTTGTCTTCACACGTTTTGTACATAATTCAGCTGTCCTGTCTCTGCTCCAATACATTTGGATTTGACTAATGCTTATTTGCCTCTTCTGATAGTGGAAATTGTCTACTGGTTGTCTTTCAGCCCAGAAGGTGACATGGGAATTCGAGATGGCATTCCTCTGCAAGCAACCGCAGTCGACAATGAATGACTCGAAATTTTTGGAACAAAGCTTTCCCTCTTCTTTGTTCGACTTTGTCACTCAGGATATTTCAGAACAATATCTTCTTTGATCTGGACAGTGTGCAAGTATGCCTCTTTGTTTTTTTGTCTTCCTCTTGTCTACGCTTAACAATGAGAACCTTCACTATATAAAAAAGACCAACAAGCATAAATAACTGGAGAGGTCCGTTGGATTCAATCATCCTTACAAGTTTTGACATTCCTTCCCAGCAGAACTAAAAATCCTCCCTCAGGTACATTCCATTCACAATATATCGCTCATCTTATACACCAAAAATGCCTCCAACAGGTAACAAGATCCCCACTAACTCCAGATCACCAAACCATCTAAGCCGCTCCTACAAGGAAGCTAGCACCAGCCGGTGGCAACTACAAGCCCTCTTCCAGTCATTCTTGGAGGACAGACCGGCCGATACCATGCTTGCCGTTCAACAACGACGCCTTCTTGTTTCCTGGGACCTCAAAGCCATCCATTACTTGAGGATATGCTTGAGGGCGTGGATTCTGGACAAGGTCCCAGGCGACGCGATCGGTGCATTCCTGGTGACTGTCTTGTACGAACAGGACTTTCACTTGGATTACCGGCTGACGATGATGGTGAGAGATGGACAAACCCCGCTGCACATCGCTCGTCGTTTGTTAGCATTCTATCAAATCCGAGACGAAGCAGGCGCTCCCATCTGGGATAATGTGACGGTCTACGCCGAAGACACTCACCCGAAACCACCGGCTGTTCAGCGCAAGAGTGGTGCTGGAAGCTCCCCTGCCAGGAAGGAGCTTCCACCTCGTATCCCTACACCACCGCCTGCTGACCCGAGATGGCCCCTCTTCATGGGTGCGCTTAGCGACCCGGAGATTGAAGACCTCATGGACAAGCTATCAGACGACGATCACTATGCAGAGGGAGATCTGCCCCCGTTGTTCACCGGTGTGCGTGAGGAAGATATTCCCATCATCCAGGCGTTCCGAAAATTCAATCTCCACAAGAATGATTCCTCCAAGGACCTTCCTGCGTCTGAGTCTGGGACTGATCGGATTGAATATGCCTCGAAGCAGACTAACATATCACAGGATAAGCCCCTGCCCCCCCTTGCCATGAAGAAGCCTCTCCCAATCTTACCCACTGACAAGGCTCTTCCCGCCTATAAATCCCTCCTCCCACTCCCACCTCTTTCGCGCCCGTCAAGCCCAAATCCCTCATCTGTGCGTGTGTCGACTTTCAAAGCAGAAAAGAAACTTAAAGTCAGATGGGCTGACTGTGTACCGAGCGAAAATGCTAATATTGAACAGGAGAAGGGTAAGACTGACCTACGTTCGTCCCCAGCCGCATGCCCGGAGCTTCCTGTTGACGTCAACGTCAACCAGCCGCATCCTCCCACAGATATTATTTACGCTTATGTTCGGAGTCCTTGGCATTATAATGTTCCTCCGCCCCCTCCTCCGCTTAAAAAGAAGGCGGCAGTGGATGACTTGCGCAAGGCTCGAGAGCGTGGTGGTTGAATGACTGGGGATGTTCAGTCGATACATTACGCAAGAGATATCTTTTGGCCAAGATATTCAATGGCTTTCTAGTATGAGAGATTGTTTGCAATGATATCAATGGACCTGTTTTTGGATATATTCCTTGGTCCATGAACCAAGATGCTTTAAATGTACAACGCCTGAAAGAACAATCCAATGAAAGAATAATATAATAAAACGATAATCTATTTGTTCAGACAGGAGAGTAGAATGTAGTATCTTGATCTTGAAATACAGGTCTCAGAAAGTCACAATGTGATATAGTGCCATGCGTAAATAGTACAGGGGGGTTGTTGATGATGGAAGAAGCAGCAGGGATTGAAAGCAAAATACGCCGCGTGTTAGCTCCAAAAGCCAATGCTAGGCGCCGCCTGGCTTCGGTTGCTGGAGTAGTCGGAGAGGGTATGGGTTATTACATATTTTATCGTTTATTTCTTGTGTCTGTCGGCCTGGGCCTTCAGGTACTTGGCAATGAGTTCCTTCCTGTAAGAGAAAGACGGTTAGCAAGGTGTTTAGAGAAGTGATCTGGTTGAAACATACTGCATGTGAGGAGGAGCCTTCTCGTAGTGGCTGAACTCCATGGTGTATTCACCCTTGCCCTGAGTAGCGGCACGCAGGTTGCTACTGAAGCCGAACATGCCGTTCAGACTGCAGTCAGCGTGGACAGTGAACTCGTCAACACCGGTCTCGGTGTCGTTGATAGTGGCACTGCGCTTGTTCAGCAGGCCGATAACATCACCCTGGAATTCAGTCGGGGCGGTCACAACTGTCTTCATGAGGGGCTCCAGAACAGAGGGCTGACTTTCCGCGAAAGCCTTGCGGAATGCCTGCTGGGTGGCATTCTTGAAGGACATTTCGGAAGAATCAGTCATGTGGGTGGCACCGTCGTTGATGACCATGCGAGTGCCGAGAACCTTGTGGCCGATCAGAGGACCCTTCTCACAAGAGAGGTTGAAGCCCTTCTCGCAAGCGTACAGGAACTTCTCCGAAATGCTGCCTCCAATGACTTGCTGCTCGAACTTGTTGTCCTCGAGGGCGCCGGTAGGCTCCATGTATCCCATCACACGGGCGAATTCACCAGGTCCACCGGACTGCTTCTTGAGCAGGTGGTCGAACTCAACACGGTTGCCGATGGTCTCACGGTAGGCGACCTGGGGCTGGCCAGTCTCGCAATCGACCCGGTACTCACGGCGCATACGCTCCACGTAGATGTCAAGGTGGAGTTCACCCATGCCGGAGATAATGGTCTGGTCGCTCTCGCTATCGTAGCTCACTCGGAAGGTCGGGTCCTCTCTTTGGAAACGGGCCATGGCCTTTGAGAAGTTGGCACCGTCCTTGCTCTGCTTGGGCTTGATGGAGAGCGAGACGACGGGCTCGGGAACGAACATGGATGACATGCTGTAGCCGAGGGTCCCATCCGTGAAGGTGTCACCAGATGCACACTCAATACCGAAGACGGCACAGATTTCACCAGCGCCAATCTCGCTGACTTCCTCCATGTCGTTGGAGTGCATGCGGACAATACGGGGAACCTTGACCTTCTTGCTGTTGCGAGCGTTGAAGACGTTGGCGCCCTTGCGGAGAGTACCCTGGTAGACGCGGATATAGGTCAATTGACCGAAGTTGCTCTCTTCCAGCTTGAAGGCCAGACCAACAAACGGAAGAGAGTTATAGGGGACAAGCTTGACAGACGCCTCGTCACGCTTCTGGTCAAGGGCGAGATTCTCAACTTCAGCGGGATTGGGAAGGTAATCAATAACGCCGTCCAGCATGGGCTGAACTGACTTGTTCGCCAGAGCAGATCCCATGAAGACCGGGGTGAACTTCAACCCAATAGTGGCTCGGCGAATGGCGGCTCGGATTTGATCCTCGCTGGGCGTGAGTTCCTCCAAGAACATCTCCGCGATCTCGTCGTCGACATCGGCAAGAGTCTCAATGAGCATGGTGCGGCGCTCCTCAGCCATGGCCTTGACCTTCTCGGGAATTTCATCCTTCTCCATAATCTCCTCACCGCTACCGCCAACGTTGTATAGAGCCTTCATGCGGATCAAATCGACGACACCCTCGAACTCGTCCTCGGCACCGATGGGGACCTGAACAGCAGCCGCAGGGATCTTCAGCTTATTGTTGATCTGGTCAACAGCCTTGAAGGGATTAGCACCCATGCGGTCCATCTTGTTCACAAACGAGATACGAGGGACGTTGTAGCGGCGCATTTGGCGGTCGACGGTAATCGTTTGGGACTGGACACCGGAGACAGCACACAGAATCATGACAGCGCCGTCCAGAACGCGCAGCGCTCTCTCGACCTCAATAGTGAAATCAATGTGACCGGGGGTATCAATCAAGTTGAGGTGGTACTTTTGCTCAACTCCCTCCTTATCCTTCTTAACCCAGTCACAAAAAGTGGCCGCGGACTGAATGGTAATACCCTTCTCACGTTCCAAGTCCATGGAGTCCATCTTTGCACCGACGCTGTCACGCCCGCGGACCTCGTGGATAGCCTTGATACGACCAGTGTAAAAAAGAACTCGCTCTGTACAGGTGGTTTTACCGCTGTCGATATGGGCCTGTGCAGAGAGACGTCATTAGACAAGAACGAAAAGCAGATATGGGAGCAATTGGATATTACGTACCGCAATACCAATGTTACGACACTTGTCAAGACGAGCGGCCTCGACCGGATCGAGATTGTCGATAATGGCGGTTTGGGACAGACCCTCCGGGTTGGCTTTAGCAGCCTCCAGACTAATAACAACGTTAAAAAGAATAAAAAGCAAGAGACCAGTTCTATGGGCACACTTACACTGCAGAAGCAGCAGCAGAGGCATTTCGGCGCTGGCCCCATTGTCCCAGCTTCGACTGATAAGCCGGCGCAACAGCGGCGGACCGGAACGCGGCTGTGGAAGCGCATCGTTGGCGTAGAAGAGTCTGGGGCTGGAAACGAGCTGATCTGGTCAAACCAGACACCGCGCAGGTTTGTAACCGGGCAAGAGAAGGAGACCGCATGGTGATGATCCAACCACACCAGAATTGATATGATCAACGCGAATTGAATATTTAGTTGGCTCCCCGAAAAAAAAGTTCGGGGAAGCCAGGAACGCATCACGTGATTATTTACATCGGCCCATCAGAGCTGGGAGATTACAAGTCGGTGGATGTAGAACTATAAAATGAGACATCGACGTCGGAAACGATCATGGCTTTGTTGCTTGGAGGCTTGGGTATGGTGACAAGCCGTTGGTTGGAGTAAACTGCGCATATATGCATAGATATCGGCCATCCAAGAAAGTCAAGACTGAAGATCATGATATGAGTTGAATTGAAACATGAAGACCCAATGAACTTGATTGCCACACTAATATACAAGAAAAATACACAAGCGCCGTGGTATCCAACCACTGTCTGGTTTTGAAACAAGAATGCAAAAGTATGCCGCCGATCCTGGTTCCGCAACGACAAGCCGCATATCCAAGGGATTTAAAGACAACCTAAGTATTGAGAGCATGTTTGTATGCCTGAAATATTGCCAATACCTCAGATTGTTCAAGTAAAGGCTGCCGCGGAGGGACAAAGCGATGCACGCTATCGAAGAAAACGACTGAAAGCGACGACGCTATTTCCCTTGCCGTTGCTTGTGCTTGGGGTTCTTCGAGCTAAACCAAGAAAACGAAATATTAAAACCGAACGACTTCAAGTATAGCCTTCAATGGCACGGGGTGATCACTCACCAGATGATGTAGACACGGCCTTTCCGGTGAACGGGCTGTCCAGTAGTCAGCACCCACCAGTCAAAATATGATTCAAAATCATTCCAACATGGACGTATTCAATATCTTAAATCATACCTTGCAGCCATCACACAGTCTCTTAACAGAAGACCGAGTCTTCATTCCCCGAACCTGCTCCAACTGCCTAGCAAACCCATTCGCCACGGCAACAACATTGCCGGACTTTACTTGTCCACGTAGCCTCGTCAGGCTGTTGCGAATCATATGCGAGAAAGGCCGTAATGAGGCGGTCCGGGCGGTCACAGAGGGGAGGAATTGGCGGAGGGTCCCGGAGGAGGCACCGAAGACGGAGCGGAGGGAGAACATGGCGGCAGGTTTCGATTTTGGTCTGTCTCCACGGAAGGTGATCAATTGGAGGCTGCGCCTCGATTATCACCTTATGAAGAACGAGAGGTATCGGGGTGCGGTGCGAGGCTGATGTTTGGCTCCGAAGGTTCTCTCGTGCTGCGATCGCAAATGTTGGCCGGAGCTTCTGTATCGCCGGTCGGCCGAGGGGGTTGGCCGCTGTGATTGGTCGGGTTTGCACTACAAGTATAACCTTCCAAGGTTGGAACATAGGCTACAACGACAGAAAAGCAGAAAGACTATGTGAAAGTGTGGATTTATTTAGCGACTCGAGAGAAAACTTAGTTCTATTTATTGAAGGTATCTAGGGGGCTAGCCGGAATATATCTGCTAGGCTAAAATGGAGGCCTGACCCACAAAACATTGCGTATGAATGTTCAATCATGAGAAAAGGACATTTGAGGGTATTTGGACTTATGCAAATATGTAGTAAGAGCCCTAAAAGTAGACTATGTGACCTATGATACAGATGGTCTATCAAAATGAACCAAACGCCGAAAAAGAGACAAAACAGGGTATGAACAATGCATCCACTTGTTACCCACCTTCTCTTCTCTTGCGATTATAAAAACAAGTGCTTATTCGGAACGCAAGAAGGTCTTGTAAGTGGTAGAGTCGGTGTGCTCAGTGAACGGATATCCCAGATCCCGAAGGAAAGCGTCCACATCCTCCTTCTCGGGTGACGGGCACTGGATTCCAGCCAGAACCTTGCCCACATCACCGCCATAGTTACGATAGTGGAACAGAGAGATATTCTGTTCAGGACGGAGAGTGGTGAGGAACTTGGCGAGAGCACCTGGACGCTCGGGGAACTCGAACATGAAGATACGCTCATCGGCGACCTCGCAGCGGCCGCCGACGAGGAAGCGCACATGACGCTTGGCAAGTTCGTCATCAGTCAAGTCGCGGCAGCTCATGCCGCCCTTCTCCAGCTCTCCCATGATCTTGGCCAGGTCTTCGCGGCCAGTAGAGGTAGATAACGAGATACCCATCAGCACATCGGCCGACTCTTCGCGGGCGTAGCGGTAGTTGAACGCGGTAACGGCGTGCGGTAGAACAATCTCAACGAGCTTGGCGAATGCGCCGGGCTTCTCGGGGATCTTCACGCTAAGAAGTGCCTCCTTCTTCTCACCAAGGGCAGCGCGCTCAGCAACAAACCGCAGACGATCAAAGTCCATATTAGCACCAGAGGTTATGGCAACAAGCTCGCGGTTGGGGTCAGGGCTAGGGTTCTTGGCAATATACTTCTTGAGACCGGCAAGAGCGAGAGCGCCGGCGGGCTCGACGATGGACCGGGTATCCTCGAAGGCGTCCTTGATGGCCGCGCAGGTCTCGTCGGTGGAAACCTGGATGACATCGTCGATGACCTCGCGGCTAAGACGCCAAGTCTCCTCGCCAACCGACTTGACTGCTGCACCGTCCGCAAAGAGGCCAACCTCCTTGAGGAAGACTCGGTTACCCGCTTCGAGGGACTGAGTCATAGCGTTGGCGTCGTAAGCCTCGACACCGATGACCTTCACCTGGGGTGCGATGCGCTTGAGGTAAACTCCAATTCCGGCAATCAGACCACCTCCTCCAACAGCACAGAAGACTGCCTCGAGCTTGTCCAAGTTTGCCTGGCGCAGCAGCTCCATGCCGATGGTACCTTGGCCAGCGATGACGTAAGGGTCGTCGAACGGTGGGATGTTTGTCAGCCCATGCTGCTTCTCCAATCGGTGAGCCTCATCCTTGGCAGCATCAAAGTCGTTTCCGTGAAGGACCACACTTCCTCCCAAGCGAGCAACATTCAGGTGTTTAATGGCGGGGGTACCGGAAGGCATGACGATGGTAGCGGGGATTCTGAGCTTGCGGGCAGAAAAGGCCACACCTTGAGCATGGTTTCCTACGTTGAGTGAGTAAAAAGCACTTCCAATCTTATCTACCAGGTACAAACTCACCAGCAGAGCAAGCGATAACGCCTTTCCAGCGCTGCTCATGGTTCAAATGAGCCATCTTGTTGTATGCGCCACGGAGCTTGAAGCTGAAGACCGGCAGCAAATCCTCACGCTTGAGGAGCACCCGGCTTTCCAGCCGGCTACTCAGGTTGACAGCATGGGTAAGAGGGCTTTCTTCAATCACATCGTACACTCGTGACGTCAAAATCAACCGGAGATACTAGAATCGCGGGGCGATGTTAGAATTTGAAGATTCAGTAGGAATTTCAAGACCTCAACTTACATCTGGGTAACCGTTGGGGAGCAGAAAAGCTTCAGGGATGCCCCAGTTAGGAGGCAAGCCGGGCGTCCTTTGCTCGCGTTCAGAGGGCGGCGTCGGAGCGGCGGTATACTCAGTCAACGCCAGCCCGCTCATCTTGGGAGTGACGGGCATCGCGCCGCCGTTAGGAGTCTCGTCAGACATGATAAGCTCAGATTGGTTCTACCAAACGACGGAGAAAATCAATTCCAATGCTGATTAGAAAGAACCTGGACGGGATAATCTAATCTCTGACTCTTTTTTCTTGCAAAGGCGGGACCGGTGATCGGAGAACCTTATGTCATCAACCCTGAGTGCTAGCCCTAAATAATGCTTGATTTGGGAGTGTGGAAGGGGTAAGATAAAGTAAATGAGACCAAAGCGAATAAGGACGTTCTAGACAAACATGAAATCGTGTATCCTTTGGACTGGATGAAAGAAATGAACATTGGGTGGACGCCCTAGAGGTATATAAGTACAGGAGGTTGTACAAGCGGTCAACAATGAGGGGCAACTAGTAGAAAAATAACTTATTTATGCTTTTTTTATTATTATACTTTGGACCCGAGATTTTTCAGAAGCATTTGAGCAAAATAGGAACTAATGTCCTTGTAACATTGGTAAAGACATAGTAGATGCTGTAGTAGTCTCCACCTGGCAGGGCCAGATAGTTACATAACATCCGGGGCCGATTTGGTTGAAAACTTGGCGTCATACCACAGCTCGACCATCTCTGCCCCAGCTTCTTGAAGAGTCTATTCCAACATCAAAACTTCCAACTCCTCACATACTCCGATTTGATTTTTGTCAATAAATCCCCATTTATAAGAGTTCACCGAATATCCCCGACTCGAAAACTCCGCATCCCGCGGACGCAATTGTGCTCCGCACCACTGTCAACATACCCGACCCCGATCAACTTCACCATGAGCCGGGAACCCGTGCCTTCGTCTTTTGACGAGGGAAACCCGTATGTGTCACACATTATCCGCGCGTCCGCAAGCGGCGCCCAACAATGCCGCATAGAAAGCAAAGGGAAGACTCATCTGCTGACGCTCGGCCTCCGACAGTCAATTTACAGAAGAGACCGGAATGGAAAAGTTCACACGACGCCTCAAGGAAGAGCCCCTCGTTCCACTTGGTACGAAATTCCTCTAGCACAAGCCCCCATATTTTCCTCGGTATTCCCTCCCGACATTAACAAGACTAATACATACTACCATAGGATGCGCCGCAACATGCTATGCCCTCTACCGCGCCTACCGGTCGATGAAATCTGGCGACTCAGTGGAAATGAACCGAATGTTCCGAGCCCGTATCTACGCACAAGCTTTCACACTAGTCGCGCTAGTCGCCGGCGGAATGTACTTCAAGACGGAGCGGCAGCAGCGCCGGGAATTCGACCAGGCGGTGGAACTTCGGAAGAAGCAAGAAAAGCGTGACGCGTGGTTGCGCGAGCTGGAGATTCGTGATAAAGAAGATCGCGAGTGGAGGGAGCGCCACGCTGCTATTGAGGCTGCGGCTAAGGAGGCTGGGAATAAACCGGCGCCGCGCAAGGAGCCTGATGCGGCACGGTCATCGATTGAGCCTGCTGATGAGAAGTCTATTGGGGTTATGGATGCCGTGAGGGCTCTTATTTCACGGAATTGATGGCGAGCGCTCTGTAAGATAGGAGAGATCCTTTTTTTTTTGTACATATCATCGAAATTGTCTAATCGCGTGTGGATCTTCAACTGATCAATGGTGCTGTTGTTCGAGAATGGAAAGTAAAGGTGGCAAAAGTACGATGAGCTCGTCCGGTTGTAGTTTCTGGGTTTGTACTGCGTACGGGGAGTCCGACGATCGACGTGCCGAGGTTGAAATGTCCTCATTTATCCACGCCCAAACAAGCACGGCACTAGCACAACAAGGTAAACCACGTTCTTGGCAGAACTCTGGAAATATTTCCGAAAAAGCAGCACGTTGATGTTGGATAAGCCTGGCCGAATTTGTTTGCTTGGCCGAGGCTTTCATGTGAGATCGACAAGGCTAGCGCCGTGCGGCAAACATATGATCCTCAGGGCTTATTCGGAACAGGAGTGCCGTCAAGTGTGGTTTTATGGGATTTTATGGCGTTTTGAAACGGCGCTGAATTCTTAGTAGTACAGGGGAGTATAAGACGAACGCGCTTTTCATGAAGACTAGACTAAGATGGTCAGGTCAAAAAGAAGATCCAAAGGCGGGGAAGTTGAGCTACTCGACACCAAACCCTAATTTGGAAAGCCTCAGGGTCTATCAGAACCTGCGTCAAACTTTTCAGTCCCTGCTCCGAGTATCCACCCCTCATCCAGCCTAACTCTTGCAAATCTTCCCTGCTCATTTCTTTCCGAGCCACAGTGACGTGTGGAACACAGGCTAGTCGCTTTGTGGGCTCTCATGAGAGTATAAAGGCCCATGACATTCCCCTATGACTGTAGATCTTCTCGTGTCCTAGTCCTTTCCTTCACACCCTTATCGAAAAGACACTATACCCATCTGTATACGTGGTGCCCAGCAAAAAGAACTATTTCCATATTCAAAATGCTTTCCTGGATCAACCCATTGCGAATCGTGCAGGCGATCCTGTCCCTGGCCACGATTGGTCTTACTGCATACGGTTCGTTTCACTATACATGAGCTTTATAGAACAACGCTGACTCAATCTAGAAATTGCCTCTTTGTACGACGAATGGTCCTACTCAAATGTCATCTACTACATGCTCTTCAACGGCTGCTGGACAACAGGCATCGCAGTCCCATACCTGGGCCTCGCACCCCTACGCTTCCCTCGCTTCTCACATGAAATTGCCATTCCTCTTATCGAGCTGCTCACCGGCGGTCTCTGGCTCAGCGGCTGGATCGCCTTGGCTGCCATGGTCCCATCGCCTGGCGCGTGCCACTATTCCAGCTGCCACGCCCTCCAGGCCCTGATTGTCGTCGGGGCCGTCCAGTGGTAAGAACAGAGCCCAAGCACCAATACACACGTACATTATCTAACCTATCGCTCTAAATAGGGCTACTTTCGTTGTCACAAACACCTTCGCCGTCATAGACTTGAAGAACTCTCGCCGCAATGCGAAGAATCATCGCGACGATGCTTCCCCGGAGATGACTACTGCTGATGCCAATTCCAATGGCAACACCACCAATACCGGCACCGCCGATGCCGCTGTCTAGATGCTGTGTCCATACCCCGAGAATATGTTTATGTACCAACGACACTTGCAACGACGACAACTTGCAAGCTATGATACGCACGCGGTTGAGTTTCCTATATGAAAGCGATACCCCACTTGGTTGATTTTGATGAACACGTATGGCCCTTGTTTATATGCCAGGATTACTTGACAATACCAGAAATGGTCTGGTCATGTATCGACCTAATGTTAATACTATAATCTGTTCTTACTCTCTTTCTTCCACCCCCGACAGTGCAACTCAATTCATGGCACCGTCAAAAGGAATTATACAAGATTAAAATTGAAATCTTTAACCATGAGTTTACTTTAGCATTAAAATGTCTAATCAACAAAAGGCTTCAATGAATATAAAATAACCGAGATACCCGAGAGATATATCGATATATCGCTCAACCAATATCCATTCCATCCACCTGGCGTATTGATTTCATCGGCCCGCTCTGGCCAGTTTGGTTCATTTCTGCGTGGAATGCCAGCACCTCGCCATACCTAGAAATAGTCAGCAGAATGTCCGGAGATGCATCGACATGTACTGTTAGGACTGACATGATGGTCTTCCAGATATCGGCTGGGAGATCTGCTTCAAGGAAAGCCCAATCGAATGTTTCTGCTGCTACTGGCTCGTCGTTGGGATCGTGGTATGGTGCGAGATATGGGGATGTGAGGGCTTCTGTTGCGGAGATTCGTACTTGAGGGTCGAATTGAAGCATTCTGTCGATCAATGCCGTGGCTGATTTGGTTAGTATTTTGTTTTCTCAAGGAATAGGTTGAAACGTACCGTCTGCGTTAGCCTTGGGGATGAGCTGTGATATTGGCGTGCGGTCTCGCTTTGGGAGTGAGTTGATGAAGTTCAATGTCTGCAGGGAAAAGAGAAGTAATCAGCAAACCCATGTCCGTGGGTACAATATAATTTCAAGAGTTTATCTCACATTTTCACTTGTGATATTATTGATGACTGCTTCAGGGGGGCTACCAAGTAGATCGGTGATAACACAAAACTGGTTGATATGGTCCTTTCCGGGGAACAACGGCTTGCCCAGAAGTAATTCAGCGAAGATGCATCCGGCGCTCCATATGTCAACTTTTTCGTTATACTTTCGCCATGTGAGCATGATCTCTGGTGCACGATAGTACCTCGTCGAGACATAGCCGGTCATGTGGGCTTCTTGGATCCGGGCCAGGCCAAAGTCACATATTTTCAGGTCGCAGTTCTCGTTGATCAGGATATTACTTGGCTTTAGATCTCGATGGACGACACCGGCTGAGTGGAGATATTTTAGGCCACGCTGCAATTGTTGGTCAGGAAATGGCGGTTGCTGTGTTTTTGGTATAGATGGCACCGACCATTATTTGATACATGAAGTATTGGGCGAATTGGTCTTCGACCCTTTTTGCCTTCAAAATTGTATTAAGATCGGTTGCCATAAGTTCGGTCACAATGTATCTAGATTTATTAGTACTTCCCATGTAAAGAAAGTGGAGTCTCTTCGTACATGTCTTCCGAGGGAGAAATGAAGATGTCGGTCAGGTTGATAATCTGTCTGAAACTTAGATAGTCGCCTTATACTAGTCACTGGGGATGCTCACATTTTCATGTCGCAACTGTCTCAACAATTTCATTTCTCGAAACATGTGTCTTGCAATAGCCGGTGTTTTGAAAGGTTCCGCGAGTTTCTTCACGGCGACGGTCCGATGAGCAAGCTGATCTCTTGCAGAGCTATACGGAAAGTAAACGTTAGTATCGAGTGAATTATAGGTCTGCTCCAAGGAAATAATACCAGACAAGCCCAGATACTCCAAGCCCAAGGGGCTTCCATTCTGTATAACTGATTTCGTATAGTCTTAGTATACAAGATGTCGCCAAAGTATTGCCAGCTTTAGTTTTCCTAACCGTTCAGTTGTCTCAAATACTGTGCCCATTACTGATTTCTGCGAGAAAGTTGCCATTTGCTCCCCGTAGGGTGGCGTAGGTAAGGCCGTGGGCATCATCGGAGATAATATGGAAGTAAATAATGGGCTATAATACAGGGATCAGATAAACATATAACGAGATATGATAATGAGAATAATATGAATAGAATGGATCCAAAGAAGAATAAATAGAAAGAATAAATAGTCACGAAAATATAGACCAAACCGTTCGATGCCGTCATGCCGTCAGAGTCCTCGGGTAGTGACATCAGAGGCTTGTGGATCTCCCCACATATCCCAACAGCGCATCCAGCATATTCAGCACAGACATAGAAGCATCTCACACATTCCATTCGCTTTCTATTGGGATCTTCATGTCTACCCCGTGTAACCCGAATATTTGTGAAATGATATTGGTTCGGTCTAGATTCGAGGGGTTCAAGGCTTCTGCACGAACTTGTCACGATATGGCATACGCCTCAACGTCATGGGTATTCTTTTCTGAGAATCCTATTCTCTTTTTGGGGTGTCATGCGTAAGATGCGTAAGTATCCATATCGTGGACAGATTCGTATATTCGTCGATTCATAACTATCAGAAGTTCCCAATATGAGTTTTAGTACTTTGGGCTCGCGGTCCTGAGATTAATATACAGCGCCCATCGCTAAGAAAGAAAGAATAGCATTCTAAACAATGGAAGCCAGTCCTTAGGTATACCCATTGTCTGCCTCGATGAAGTTTGCAAAAATCGAATCGTTGGAACCATTCGGCTCAGAAGGTGCAAAATCGTTCGCGATTGTAGGCAACGCCGTCCAGTCGTTATTGTTATTGTATGCGCCCGGTCCGACGGGGTTGGTATCATCTGCGACCGACCCATCGGACCACGTCCCAGTCGAAAATGAGGGCGATGAGCTGTCGGGCAGGCTAGAATTATTCGTATCCGGGTTGGAAGGACCTTGGAGGACGGTCTGGGTCATTCTGGCGAGCTGGTGGTCGATTCGGTGGTCTTGGCACTCGGCATGTTGGAAGATGAGGTTTTTCAAATCCCAGACTTCTTCTCGTAGACAGTTCAACTGTGCTAGGAGTATATCTTTCTTCTCGGTTTCGTCGGTCAGACGCCGCTCGATTTGTTTGTGTTCTCTCTTCTTTCTTTCGCGGCATTTGTTGGCGGCGATGCGGTTTCGTTCGAGGTGCTTTGCCCGCCCGGGGCTGACGGAGTGGGAGGTGAGTGAGGTGGGTGATACGGATTTCATGGCTTCTTGGTCACGCGACGTATAGAGGTAATGAGGTGATAAAAGAAGTAACAGAAAGTAATTGGAATTATAGAATGAGCGGTTTCTTTTTTTTCTCTTTCAGTCAATGAGCGGAAGATTTTCAAAAAGTCTACAATGTAGAAATCCGAGTTGATATATGGAATCTTCAGGGCAGATGCTCCCACGAATATATAGAGTCTGGACCAAAATCAATGACGTACTATGTCAAGGATCTGGACAGGATCTGGATCGAAAACAAAAGCAAGCTTCCAACAGTTGCAACCTGGCAGCCGGATCCGGTCCTGCCATCCAATCGTCTATGTGCCTCAGGTCCACATGACATCAGGGTCGAAGTTGGGATTTACTTAGAGTGAGCGGAGGATAGGTGGCAAAATCTCATTGTACATATTCGTCTGTGTTGTAGATCCATACATATCAATGGCCATTGAACTATAAGGATCTTGAATTCTGACATCATAGGGAAATACTTACCTACGTTGTCTAGTTTAGTGTGATCTAGATCACTGGCTGTGGACAGTAAGAGGAGGTACAACCTAGTAGCAAAATACAATGCCCTGTATTCGATTGAAGACAATTGAATTAAGTTATGTCCGAGAGTTATTTAGGTAGTATGGAGGTCGACCCTCCGCTCCAATATCTACGCTTCAACAACATACACACTCTTATGTCGACATTGCATGACGTATCCTTGAAACAAGAGTCGATTCAATACAAAGAAGAATATTTACATAAACAGGTCAACCAGCGATCTGTTCATCGATGTAGCGCCTCATCGTCTCAAATTCCGCTTTGCCTGTCTATAAGCCCGTTAGCGATCCAAATTATTAGAACACACCAAACCTCATACCGAAAGCAAGTATCGTATGTGTTGCTGACAAGGAAAAAAGTCAGTCGAGTATTCTTAAATACGAACGTCCCCATGGAACTACAGAGATCAACCTACTATATCCGATACTCCGCGATGACGCTCGAACTCATCGCGTGCATATCTATGCAGCTCAGTCCGTGTTGACGAGGGAGGGACCTCTGCGCATTGTCTGTCAGTTGTCATGCATGGCCCCAGAAATTGGGATTGTAGATGTACTTATTAATGCTCGCATGATTTCCCGCCATAATGACAATACCCGCTGTCTTTGGATAAACTATATGGTCAATTAGTACATTTACTTCAAACCAAGCTTGAGTTACTTACATGGTCTAGACTGATGGAAGGCTTCTTCAGCTTGGAGCGGTGGCTGCGCGAGATCGCGGCGAGTAAACGGTGTGAGTGACGCATTGAAGCCGATCAAAACATGGCCTTATGGATGAAACAAAATATTGCATGCGTCATAAAGCTTTTTCTTCCGATGATAGAGATGCCGAGTAGCTTGTAGGAGAAGGGATATAGAGAGCGGTGAGGCAGTGGATATTTCTGCCCCAGCATTGTGCTCACGGTCAGGTGACGGCCCTATATATGTGACGAATCGAGGTTTGAACAGAAGATTGTTTGGCTTCCTATGGAGGCGACCGCGATATTTGCATGTATATAAGACCTAGTTTGCGTAGAGCAACTATCGCTATGTATGATGTTCGATAGTAGACATGGTGGGTGTACAAGAGGCAAACTTCATATAAATGTGTGACTTTTGTCTTAAGAAATGATATTTTTTGCAAATAGATCATTCTTGTCTAAATTTTACTCCTGCAGAGGTTGACTCATGCCACCAAAAGTTATACTCTTGATAGTCATGAATTCGTCAATTCCATACTTGCTGCCCTCACGGCCGAAGCCACTCTGCTTGACACCACCGAACCTATAGAAAGATCAGAGCTTGACATACCAATGCGGGGAAACATAAACTTACGGAGAGGCAACATCACTGATCAGACCAGTGTTAACACCAACCATGCCGACCTCTAGGGCCTCAGCGACACGGAAAATCCGGCGAACATTACCACTGAAGAAGTAACCAGCGAGACCGACATCGGCATGATTAGCGAGGTCAACAACCTCTTTCTCGGTCTTGAAGGGGAAAAGACCAGCTACTGGACCAAAAGTCTCCTCGGAAGCGAGAAGCATATCCTTGCTCATGCCGGTAAGAACAGTGGGGTGGTAGAAGTTAGGTCCGAGCGCGGTAGCCCTCTGGCCACCGATGACAATCTCGGCGCCCTTAGCAGTAGCATCCTGCACATGCTCGTGGGCCTTATTTACGGCACGCCCATGAATGACAGGTCCGTGGGTGATCCCGTCCTCGAAACCGCCACCGAGCTTGAAGGCCTTGACCTTCTGGACAAAGCGCTCAGCGAACTCCTCATACACGCCGTCTTGAACATAGATCCGGTTAGCGCACACGCAGGTCTGGCCAGAGCTGCGGAACTTGGAGTTGATGGCACCGGTCACGGCAGCATCGAGGTCCTCGACGTCATCGAAAACGATGAATGGCGCATTACCGCCGAGCTCCCAGGAGACCTTCTTTATTGTCGATGCAGCCTGCTTTCCAAGGATGCGGCCGACGTTAGTAGAACCGGTGAATGACACCTTGCGCACCTCTGGGTGGGTGGTAATGAGCTCGCCTACTGCAGGTGTGTTCTTCGCGGAGGTAACGAAGTTGACAACACCCTTGGGGATTCCAGCCCGGTGCGCAAGCTCAGCAAGTGCGTTCGCTGTGAAAGGCGTCTCCTGGGGAGATTTGGCCACGACTGTGCAGCCCGCCGCTAGGGCAGGGCCAATCTTCCGCGTAATCATCGCCGCGGGGAAGTTCCATGGCGTAATCAAGCCGCACACACCAACAGGCTGCTTCACAGTCATAACCCGGTTTCCGGGAACGGAGGCGGGAATTGTGTCGCCGTACGTGCGGGGTGCCTCCTCACTGAACCACTCGAAGAAGCTGGCGGCATAGTTGACTTCACCCTTCGCATCAGCGAAGGGCTTTCCGTTCTCCCATGTAATCAGCTTAGCTAGATCATCCGCGTTCTCCATCATCAAATCATACCACCGGCGAAGCATGCGCGCGCGTTCACGGCCGAGTGTCGTGCGGAATTTGGGGAAAGCTTCGGAGGCAGCTTGAATCGCCGTCTCAACATCGGATATATCGAGCTCGGGGCAGGTTCCGATCAATTTGCCAGTCGCTGGGTCTGAATGAGATGATAAATCAGCGACAGTGCTTTACCCGCATATTCAATCGGTTGGTATGTAGTTACCGTGGACTTCGAAAGTCTCGCCGGACTTCGCGTCGACCCACTCGCCATTAATGTACGCCTTCTCAATGAACAGTGACTGGTCTTTCAACTGCGATGAATCAGTATAAAACCCAAGAAACCGCATTGGACTGTGGATCTTACCTGCGGCGCGCTGTGTTTCATGCTGTATAGTCTCTGTGCGTGAGCTGTTCGGGGAATTGAAAAGGGATATCTCGGCCGGGGTCTCAATAATTGGCGGGCGACAGGGCGGATGATGCGGTCCATTATAAATCGAGGCGAGGAGGAGCCCTTGACAGAGGATTGATACAGGGGAAGATGGAGAAAGTTCAAGAGTGCGGGGAGTTGGAGGTTGGAGAGTTGGAGATGCCTTTAAAGAGAGAGCAGTTCAGCAGTTCTAGTGGGGTACCGGTGTCTCGAATTGGTTGCTCAATGGTGATTGCTCTTCGAGTCCGAGAAGCACCGAATATGTGTGTAATGGGAATGCTAATGAGATTCTGGTAATCTTCCAGCTCAGAAGGGAAGCTCCATGCTTAAAGCGGGGATCTGCGGAGTTGATGTCATCTATACTTAACCCCGGCTATACATCAAGACGGTTGGTTTTGGTTTTTATTTTCTTTTCCGTCGTGTTTTAGTACATTGTGCATTGTCATTTTCCAAGTCATATTGAGGAAAAGTCAACTGGAATAGAGAAATATCTTTCTATAGGAAAAGCTCCATTTCATAGATCTGGTAATTTAAGTGATCTTTAAATAACATTACAAGGCTCGGCTATTTGGGCCAATCAGAACCTCAATTTTGCAAACGTACGGGGTTCACAACCAATGGACACCGTTTTTGCATTTTCGGCCCTCAGATAGCGTATTGGTAATACTCCGAGCTCATCCCCGGACAACCTGTCGGTCCTTTCCCCCACAAAACCACCGACCCTCAAAAGGGGAGAAGAAAAATCCTTCTGTAAAAACAGGAAGAAAGGAAAAGGAAAGCGAATTGAACTTGTTTTAGAAGAACATAGAGACTGCGCAGAGTGCACATTCGTTCAAAAAACGACACAGGTACGTGTAGTCTGTATGTAGCCTCTAGCGGCAGTAGTCCTACCCAAGTCAGTTCTAAGGCTAGTGCAAGAGACGATATACGACTCTTGCAAATAGTGACATGGATATCCTAGAGTGGCACCAGGTTGAAGTCTGGCGAGATCTAAGGGGTACCTGTCTACTCGCGATATGAGTCCATCTGACGTCCGGACTGAATATCCCATGGCCTGAGAAGATCCTGCGTACAATATAGCTGGTCATACTAAACTAAAAGGACCCTGTACTGATTGACCTCGTGGATAGATCTCCACCAGTTCACCCTCTTGGTTTTGGTCGTTTTAGGATGGCGTGCCCTAACAAAAGTCATTTGATGTAGCGGCAGAGGATATTTTGAACGTGGTCCCCGAGATGATATTTGCTAGATATCAGAATAGGCATGAATAAATACTACCTATCAATCATCTCTTAAAAGGAACCATCTGCCCTGGAGCGCGTTCGCACGTTCACCTTCTCTTACTTAAAACCAATCGACAACCATAACCCACTTCCCTTCCTCACCATTCCCCTTCTTCAAACTTTATCTTCTTCAACCTGTGCCTTCTTGAGCTTTTCCTCTTGCACTACTTCAGCTAAATACTTCAATACTATTTGAACAAGCTTCACAGCCTAAGTTCGAGCATCATTCCCCTAGCCTTTCAAGGCAGTTCTCTAGGTTGCTTCGGCTGAAGGTTGGTGTCACGCTCTCACTTGGACTTCCACAGTCCATGCTCTAACAAACCTCAACAGATTCACAGCATCTAAAATCCACTTCACACCATTCGAACAAGCCTCATAGCCAAAGTTCGAACATCCTTCCCCCTGTCTACTCAAGACTCAGGTCGCTTTGCCTGAAGGCCGGTATTGCGCTCTCACTTGAACTTTCACAATCCATGCTCTAACGAACCTCATCAGATTCAAAGCATCTACTATCCACTGCACACAATCACTTCTTCGAACAAGTCCACAGCCCCAGTTCAAATATCACATCCACATCCGCATCTACTGTACCGCATACCTCCGTACATTAAGTCTCAATGTCTTGGGATTGCCAGAACGCATGGTGGGTCCTCCCTGACGTGCCGCACCATATCAGGAAGTTTCAAAAAACGTCATACTAGCTGGGACTCGAGCCTGGAACCTACCATGGACCAAACGTGGAAGCCTCACGCCGAATTGGGCGTCAACCCGGACGTCAGATTGAACGACGACTCATTTCGAACGCTGTGTTCCTCGTTTCACGCCCAGTGTCCCTTCGATCCGCAAACAAATAGCGTGGTCCTCTCACCACCATCAAAAGCCAAGGCCCTCTCGTCAGACTCAGAGGTAAAGGATCCATTCTTACGTCTTCCTTGGTTCGCTCTAGAAGAAGTTCTCGTCAACTTGCCAGACCTGCCTACCTTGCATCAACTGTACCAAGCTCCCCTAGCGGTCCATGACTATCTCAATCATACGCCTGGATTCTTCCCAAGGGCTTTTGAAAAGACCGTCGAGCACCGGCACCGTTCCTCAGGTTTTAACAGCAATACCAGAATTCCTTCCGAATGCTGGTCTATCTTTGGTGGAAAGAAGAATCCGCGGCTAACAACGTGCCTTCGGATGAGAACCCGTTACCTGATACGTTTCATGATGCACGGGTATGGGGTGTGAATGTCCCAACGAATGGCTGGTTTGAGCCACCCTGGCTCGGAGAGACTAAACTCCCGGCATCAACTCCGCCAAAGATTCTCCGTCATGTCCTGAGCCTTGCAAGTCGCATCCGCGCGGATGCACATGCCTTCTTTCACGAGACCATTGCTCTATGCATATCCTGCCCTATCGAGGAGATCGGAGAATGGAAAATTAAGAAGGCGTACTGGCCAAAAGGCGGGCCTAGACCTCGCGGGGATCCGATTATCAAATCTGGGGCGGATTGCCCTCTCACTTGGTTGGAGGAACACCGTCTGATGCAGGCGTTTCTAAAGCCATACCTTTTCTCAGTACTGCGACGGGTAGCTTGTGAAAAAGGGCTCCTGAAAACCACTTGTGACGGCCCCCGCATGTACCCAGATCCCCTCCTGGCATTGAAGAAGAAGTCCCCGAATACCCTACAGTATCTGAAGGAGAATTCGATGGTGGGTTTCTGAACACCTTTTGCGGATGACGGCCCGATGAGAACAGAACAATGGAGCAACCCGAGACGGCGCTTGCATGGATGGAGGACAAACATCAAATGCTCCGCAAGCGGCGCAAGCGAAGAGCAACCTTTACCACATGTTGTCCGGAATTCCGCCCGTTGAGCGCTGAGCAACTGGAGAATGAAGATCATCTGCAGTTTATCAATCAGCCTGATTGCTTCTTTGCTCAAAATTGCACCACCCTTCCCCATTCTGGTGTTAGAGGCACTGGCTTCCGGGGAGAGTTCCAGAAGTTTGGAGTGAGCTTCTGGGACAACGAGAGGATGAAATCTTTGGGGCTCACCACTAAGTGGATGGACCGCTGGACGGACCAGAAGGAGCTTGCTTTTCGGTGGTCAGGGATGTTGCTTTCGAGAGAAGAAAGGGATCGAAATAAGTGGCAAGAAAAAGGGCTTGCGATTCCGGAGTCGAACAATGCCTATTCCGTTAGACGACTAGGCTGGTCGACGCACACATGTTCGCACCAGAGCGTTGGGATCTTTTGAATTTTTTTTTTCGATTTCTTTCTTTGAGTTCTCATTTATGCAACACATTTGGTTATCGATGCGGAGGGGGGGAAACCAAAAAAAAGTGTCTTCGAGGCAACGTTTTCGCCATGAGGGAACAGCTGCTTGGATATTGAACTGGAAAGAGAGAGAGAGAGAGAGAAAAAAGGGCTTTCGAGTACATTTATTGATGGCACAGACAGTCTGAGTAGAGACACATATGAGCTAGGCATTTAAGTGATAGACACTCCCTAGCAGTTTTTGCGTTGTTCTGTCGCTTCTATAGCAGGACCTAGCATTTCCACCAGCCTCTAACCCACTAACCGCACCGTGGTTAGGAACACGTCCAGTCTTCCATTCTTCTAACTTCTAGGCCAGTCGAAGCACAGAATCTAAAGCGTCTTGATCAAATCGGCATTAATGTAATGATTCTTATAGGCACTTCAAACCACACACTCGCAACCAAGCTTCATCAAGCAAAGTACACAACCTATTCGATCATGATAACCGGATCATCCCGCTCAATCGAGGCTTCATTGCCAGGAGCAACATGTATACCATGAGCCTTTTTCAAATGTTGGTTGAGGTTCCATTTTCGTGAAAACCCATTCGTATGTCGAGTGCAAGACCTGACAGGACACAGAATATCCGCTTTCCGATGAGGACCCTTTCCAACACCTGGTTTAACCGTCCTTGGCTCCTGATCAACTGCTTGTTCTGTGGTCTCAGCAGGAGGTTCTGCGGATTCTGGCGGCGTCTCCGGGGCTGGTGATGGAGAGACAGAGGGAGGAACGACTGCAGGAGTGATGTACTTCGAGGGTCGCTGGCTTGGTACCCTTGCCTTGGCTTTGGGTGTCTTTGCCTTGGTTTTGGGCATATTCGCTTTAGCTTTGGGTTTGGGCCCGAGCTCGGGTCTGGGTTCGGGCATGCGATTTGGCTGGGGGATTGGCAGAGGGCTTGGCTGAGGACTTGGCGGTGCCGAATCGCTTTCGCTCTCGCTTTCGGTGTAGACATATTCCTCTCGAGCATCTGTCTTGCACTTTTTCCTTACCTTTCCTTCGGGCATTATTCGGAATTCCATGTCTTCACCGAAAAGATCGGCGCATCGCTTTGACGCGCGCATTACCGCAGGAGCTGGGAGGCCCATCATTGATGCCAGTCCCATAACTTCACTCCAGTCTCGCAGTTTGAGTCGGTCCTTCTTGCGACCACTGCTATCGCGGCCAGTAGACGAGTTACAAGACTGTGCTCGGGTCTGGGAAAGTTCTGGCAAGCTTTCATCTTCCGTCTCCGGTCCAGTGGACATGCGTGCACTGTTGGAACGACGTGATAACTCCCGTTCATGAGACTCCCGTCGAGCACTTCTCCGACCGCGGGATCTACTTCTGCTTCCAAGCTGGGGGTTCTCTCGAATTGGGTGATCTTCTTCATCCGAATCAGTCCATTGCTCATCACCAGAGTCTTCCTCGAACAAGCGGCCCTTCATGGCGCAATGAAGTCCGTATAGTAGCCTGTCTACCTGTGAAATCACATTGCGGGCCAGCGGACGTAATTGGCGAAGAGATTTGTCATCATCCAGTAGCACTGTCGGCCGGAGGATTCTTGTATCAACAGGCGCTTCTTCTTCGTCCTCTTCCTTTTTCTCCAATTCATCGTCCATCAGTTCATCCCCGTCGTCCGACTTATTCCGGAAGTTATCTTCAATTTCTTCCAAAGTCCACTCTCGGGCTTGGAAGGTCTCCTTGGAGGTCTTTAGCATGAATGCCGTGATACATCCTTCCAATTCCGCACTGGGTCGAGGATCAGGTTGCGTCTGAAAATTATCAGGGGAATCCATTGTCCTCTGGATGACCTCATTGGGGCGGGGAACTGTGGCCGCATGAACAGGCCATGCAGCCCACCACTTGTGTACACGGAGTGGCGCTTTGTCAAGGATCCCATGGTTCTTCCGGGCAGTGTCCCGCGCTCGCCTGCGAATCATGTGGGCATTGTAAAGGTGAGCCGCCAAATCTCTCGTTCGGTGGGTGACCATTGCATTATAGGCTCCAATATCGTCGGCGTTGTAGTTCCTCCACGAAGTGGCGTGTCCATCAAACAGATTGGGACGCTCAACGCCAGGTGGCAGGTCAAGACCTCGGTCAACTACATAGTAGATTGGCTCATGCTGAGACTTCTGCGTCCTTTTTGAGCGTGTGCGACTTCTGCCACGATTATTTTCCTGATAGCTTTCGTCATCAGAGTCATCCGGGAACGCCAAGGGCTGTTCTCGCATTAACGTGTCGAATTCATTTTGGTTTTTGTCTGGCTCCTCATCCATGGGATCTTCAGAAAAAGGCTCTAGAGGGACATCTCGCTCGATGGGGCCTCCAAAAAGAGAACTTCTTGGCGGTTCTGGCTGCGAAGAAGGTTGCAAGACATCGCTGCTTGGGCCTCCAAATAATGATTGGCGTGGCTGCGCAGATTGCGGTGGAATAAGTTCTGGCCAGCTTACCTGGCTAATTCCATATAAAGATGACATCCCGAGAAGAAACTTTGGTTTCTTGCCGTTGCATGGGCGAAAGGTTCGGACCCGCAGTGCCTAGATGTCACATAGATGCGGATTTTTATTGAACAACATCGGACTTGAAGGTCAAGAGAACATCCAGTATCAGAGATCTGTGTAGCCGGTACCTTGAACGGCGAATTTTGACTCTCCTGCCCGACACTTCGATTGTTCCTGGGTGTTGAAGATGTCAAAAATTCCAGGCGGGTGGATAACCGACTTTCACGTGATCGATATCTACGATAGAATATACACGCTAGTCCCAAAAGGGAAGTATATATGTTCCAAGGTTTCCAATCTAATCTGTATTATTTCTATCACTATGATTCTATTTCACCGACAATTCAAGCCTCAATCACTATCGATCCCGGATCAAGTTCTAAAAGTACACAGTGAGAATGCTTCTCGAGCGAGGTTACCGAAGGGCAGGCTGTGGCTTGCGCTGTTTTGCGTCACAAATATAGTCGAAAAGACAACATGTCTTCTGTTAACCTCAGTACTAGGATGACATACATTGGATAGCCATATAAGCCCTATAACTGCCCAGGTGACGCGCCTGGGCTGCTCTGCCTCTTAGAGCCCTCGGGCTTGGCTGCTCGGTTTGGTTTAGCGGCCCAATAACCACAACCCTAACGAAAGAACCAATCAATTTACCTCATTTTCTTAACTTCAGTCCGTATTTTGCAGTTCAAATCAGAACTTCCACATAAAGAAAGTGATGATTCCATTTTCCACAATAGTATAGAATGACGACTCTATCTAATTATCCAAAACGAACGAAATTGATAAGTGACCTGCTCAACTGTGAAAAAAGAGAGCCAAGCAACCCTCCTTTTATATTTTCAAGCCATATTCTAGAACCCATCCTTAGGAAGGAAGAGCGGCATAGAATCTTCCCAAATGGAGTTGGTCAATGGATGCTTATTAGATCCATCGGAGTCCATGATCATGATCTGACCATAGGGCTGGAAGGTCTCGTCATACAAAGCGCACTCATACTGGAAACCGTACATGCCAGATGACCACATAATTTTTCCATCCTGGCGCCAAACAGCGTGAGCGTCGTTGGCGCCGCTGGAAGTCAGAATACGGAAATCAGTGCCGTCAGGGCGGATGGTGCAGATCTCGTAGTTAGTCGGAGCAACCTTGCGGGTAAAGACTATAAATTCTCCATCGGGTGAGAAACTAGGAAGGTTGTCCCAGCCGCTGGTAAGCTGGGTAATCTCTCTGGTCTCAATGTCAATAATGCGTAAACCAATATCTGTCTCGTCGCCGTACTTGGCTGTGTTGGTACCCCAGACGCGGTAGACGACCTTCTTGCCGTCGTGAGAGAAGCTAGGAAAGCCGGTGTTTAGGTCCTCAGTTCCTGTGAGGTTGAGGTTGCTGTTGGTGAGGACATCGATGTAGCTGCCGTTTGCGGTGGAGCGTACAATCCAGCCTCCACGCCAATCACGCGCCTCAAACCAGGCGCCCACTCCGAAGACGACCCATTCGCCGTCTGGGGACCAGCTAGGACTGTAGGCCCCGGCCAGGCCCTCTGGAACCAGAGTCGTGTCAAGGAGACTGGTGTCATTAGGCGTGTAGAGCAAAGAGATCTGCTTATTCCCCGGATCAAAAGTGGCAATGGAGGAGTTCCCAAGTTGCTTTTCGGTCACAGCCACGCGGTCATCCGAAGAGAGTTGAGGGAATACATCAGTGAAGCGGTACTCCCAGTCGTTGTCCCAGCTATAAAGCTCCTTAAATAGAGGGCGAATAGACCAATCAACCTTCTCGTAAACCACGTACTTTCCGTCTGGAGACCAAGAGGGAGAGCGGATAGTGGTATTGAAGTAGGTACCGTTTGTAAGATACAAGCCCTCCTTGTTGCCGCCCTTCAGATGGTACCCAATGGTAGAGTTCGTCACGTATTGAGGAAAGGTCTTGACACCAGGGCCGCCAACCTCGATTCGACGGTCATTGCCGTTGATCCCAACAGAAACAATGGTGGAGTTGGCACCTGCCACGGTCTCAGGTCGATGCGCATCCCACGTCTCATTACGAGTCATCTCGTAGAATATGAGGCGGTTGCCATCGGGTGACCATTTAGGAGACCCAAGGCAGTGAGAAGTGCGGTTGGCGACACGGCGAAGGTCGGAGCCATTAGGGCGAATAATGTAAATGCCGAGTTCTTGGGTGTGTTCCCAGCCGGCGGGGCCCAGGTAGGTATGATTTCCGTGGCCGTCCCATCTTGTATTGCGGTCTGAGGAGAATGCAAGCCAATCTCCGTCTGGTGACCAAGCTGGGCGGAAGTGACCGTGCATCATGTCCTCATCTGGCCGGTTAGCCGGGGTATCGGTGATGTTCCACTCGGCACCGGTGTCCAGGTTCTTGACCCAAATGTTAGCGTTATAGGTGTTGGCTGTTGAAACATATGCAGCCAATGTTCCATTGGGTGAGATGACAACGCTGTCCTCCGCTGCTGGGGATGTCATAATCGGCTGTAGATCGGAGCCATCTGGACGCACACGCCAGATATCGGAGTTTCCATCACCGTTGCGCTCACTGGTGAAGCTAATCCATTTACCACTGGGAGAGAACTCGGCGTGGTATTCATAACCGGGGTCTTTCAATAGAGGACGCTCGTTGGTGCCGTTCGCGTTGGCGATGTATAGTTCTGAGGTACCGGGGGCAATGCGGTTCATCAAAAGCACACCCTTCTTTCCAGCCGCTGCGGAGGGGGTAGGAGACGCAACGCCTGTCGTTGGCTCGGTTCGAATGGCGTCCCGAGGTACGTGGGCATGAAGATTAGCATTATTAACCTCAGTACCTGCATCTCGGGCATAAGGGCAACTAGCAAACACAGGGGCGATAGTGAGGCCCATGACAGTAGCAATGCTCGGGCGCATTTCAAGTGCCGTGGACAACTCAGAAAACACAAGCGCTTCGGGTAAAGGATAGTAGTCTCCAGGGCTGTTCCACTGTTGCGAAACAGATTGTCACAGTACTAATATAGAATACGGTAATGGAACCCCGGAAGGTGCGGTAATAGAACCCCGGAAGGTGCTGCCTACGTGTAGGTAGCTATACATATAGCCTTATGCATAAGTTCGAGGTGGCTCACTTCCCCTATGGAATTTTCCTACAGATGATCTATTCATGAGATGAATGTCTTTGGTACTGAATCTTCCAGGTCAGTGGAACTCATCGTCGGGATCACCGACTTATTATCTTACTGTGTATTTTAACAAAGTCAACCTCATCCATGCTTCGCTTCATAATACTTCAGTTGCTCGAATATCAAGGTTTTAGTATATATTACCAGCGAGTGGTACAGCTTAGCAGCTGAATCGTGGATCCACATAATAGAGATTTGGGCCTTATATTTGCCGACTAAGTATGGATTCCCCTACGGGCCGTAGCCAAAGTACTTCGACCATCAGAACAGCAAGGGTCTGAAACAGTCTGAAACAAGGGTAGAGTGTTCATGCTTCCCAGAGTAACTCTAATCACGCTATTTGCCACCTCGGGGGCGTGGAAGCTACTTTGAATAATGACGGGGTTCGCATTCCCCGTATATAAAAGGGTTTCGTTCAAAGCCAGGAATTTTTGAATCTAGGCTTGAGACATGTGCAATCGGAGTCAGCAAAGTGCCACCGGACTAGGCCAGCCCAGCCTTTTGTAGGCAAAACATATGTTATCCGTACGTAGCTTCTGAAAAGTCTATGATGTGGCAAAGCAAGTGTATATATACACACGAACCCAAGCTGATATATGTTTTTCCGTCCATATTGGAAAATTGGGCGAAGGTTTCACAGGTTGCTCAGCGCCCAAATCTTCAGGGCTGACATTGAATAGGGCCAGCGCATGCCGGCTGAGGTCGCAGCTGAGCTCTCTGGCATTTTCCTAGGCCTTACTGCTACCATTACCAAGGTATAGCCAGATCAATCAAGGTCATCCCAAAGAGCCGTCTCTAGTGGAAATAGAGCACTCTTCTGATAAAAACCGCGCTGTGATGGGACTTAAATTCATGGAGAAACATTTCTGTACCAATATGCTTTGTGCTATACCGACGGTGTCGACTTTGTCTCGTACTAATTGCTATACCCTGATCAAGTTCGCCTGCGAAGCTCAACGCCTTCGCTCTATCGTGAAGTGGGGCGTAGGCTACCGAAAATCTGAGATGACAAGCCAGAGGAATGTAATTGGCTCATTTAGTCCTTTCCCCCACTTTGAAGGAAGTCCATTATCGAAAAAATCCAAAACGGCGCGCACACTGGCCTTTGGCAACCGTAGACAAACAATACTTCATCAGAACTACACTCCAGTATGGCACCAAAGAAAGCAGAAGCGCCGACGAATAATGTCGTCGCCTTCGGGCGCGTCAAGTCCAATCTCAAGATGGGTTGTATTGGCCTACCGAACGTGGGCAAGAGTTCGCTGTTCAACCTCATGACAGAGCAGAGCGCTGCGGCAGAAAATTACCCATTTTGCACCATCGAGCCAAATGAAGCGCGTTGCATTGTTCCTGACCCAAGATATGTGTGTTCTTCCCTTTTCCAGTTTCTGGATATTCGCATTGGATCTGACCTTTTTGGTCGGGATTTAAATACGATGAGCCCCTAGCTAATGTGACATAGGACTTCCTGTGCAATGTCTGGAATCCACCGAGTAAATACCCGGCATACTTGCAGGTTACGGACATCGCGGGATTAATCAAGGGAGCGAGTGAGGGAGCTGGCTTGGGAAATGCGTTCTTGAGTCATATCCAGGCCGTGGATGGGATGTACCACGTTGTCCGGTGCGTTCGTTTTGAAAATCCGAGAAATGAGGCAGCTACTTACTATTTATTACATAGGGCGTTTGATAACGACGAGGTTCTTCATGTGGACGACTCCGTTGATCCGGTCCGCGACTTGGGTAAGAATTGCCCCCAGGGCTGACGCATGAGAAATAGACGCTAATGGTGTTGCCGTGCAGATACTATTCAGAGCGAGCTTTGTAAAAAGGATTTGGATATTCTTGCCAAAGCCAAGGTTGCCGAAGAGGCAATTGTGCGGAAGGCTGGAGGAAAATTCAAGATGTTGCCGCTGTTCGACGAGACGACTGCTAAGATCAAGGAGGTATGTAACGTTCTCTCTTCGAAGAGATGTATAGTTTGCTGACTCCGTTATAGCTCTTGGAACAGGATAAGCCTGTTAGAGACGGAGAGTGGACGACTCCGGAAATCGAGTTGATCAACGAGAAGGTTTGTCCAGGATTCTATACTACTCAAGCGACAATGCTGACAATCTCAAGTTACGCCTCATCACTACGAAGCCGGTAATCTACCTCATCAACCTTACGATGAAAGACTACCTCCGCCAGAAATGCAAATACCTGCCCAAGATCGCGGAGTGGGTTAAGGCCCACGGCGGCCAAGGCACAGATATTATCCCCTTCTCCGTCGAGTTTGAGGAGAAGCTGTGGTCCCTAAGGGAAGACAAGCCAGCGCTAGATGCTTTCATGGCCGAGATCAAGGTCCAGAGCCGCTTGGGAAAGATAACTACCGAAGGTATGCCCCCCGATATTTGCCTCACGTATCCCACACTAATAGTCATGCCAGGCTTCACTAAGCTGGGACTGCAGTACTACTTTACCGCCGGCGAGAAAGAGATCCGCTGCTGGCCGATCAAGCGGGGAGCACTGGCTCCGCAAGCTGCTGGTGTCATTCACGGCGACTTTGAGCGCGGTTTCATTAAGGCCGAAGTTGTGGCGTACCAGGACTTCCATGACCTCTGCAAGGGTGAGAAGTCGATGGGGCCAATCAAGTCAGCTGGGAAGTACAGGCAGGAGGGCAAGACTTATGTCGTCCAAGATGGAGACATTATCCACTTCCAGTTCAACGTTGCACCGCCAAAGAAGAAGTAGAGACTCTTCGGAAAAAGTCAGTTTGCCTGCTGTCACCGTTGATATCGCTGGAAAGATGTGGGGTCCATGGCTCTTTTGGGATCATTGTTAGCGTACAACTACCTCGCGTTCCCCTTGACAGCCACCGCGATTTCGCTAATTATTGGATTACTGCTGTGTTCGTCTTCTATTCGCGGTAAATCCAGGGACGAATGCAACGTACAACGCCAGCAATATCCCACTAACTCACCGTATTGATCCCACGAAATGAGCAGCTCGAATGGAAAACTTCGATGCAGAGATTCATGTGGTCAGCCTTACATTTATCCGAGCCTTTGGAATCTATCCATTGTTTGCCCACGGCTTTTTCACTAGCCCCCCGATTCGACAACAATTCTCGAGTCCTGGTCAAATATCACCATGAAAGTCTTCCACTTTTCCTGCTTGACCTCCGTTCTCTCTTGACCGATGACGGAGCTCAAAGACCTGCTATGTGCGACGACGACAATGTCTGGCCTTTCGCCGTCCTTGAGTTCTTTGAATTTCTGCTCCAGCCGACGTCAACTTCCTACCTCAACACAAGTTGAATTCGACCTCAAGGCCGCCACCGGTGCTTCTTGTTTCCAAATTTGCAACACATCATCGTTTGGTTCAAATGCTCTGGGATCATCCTCACTGAACCAGGTCACTTTCGCCACTCCGTTCTCCACCCGATACCAAAACTCGTGTCGAGGTCGGTTTGTAATATCCATTGACATGGATTCTAGCTTAGGCATCCGTAGAGCAGCCTTGCCAGCTAATAAATATGTTGATTGAACAATTCTTCCACGAATTTGGTTCGAAGTAGGTTGCACCTGCGGTCCTCTGGAGGAACCCAATCTCGATCAGTATCATCCATATCATAGTCCCACTAGTTGGCCCCGGCTTAGTATAAATTTATATTTTCATCTTCCAAGGTTGGCTATTAACTAGCTTCGTGAGAAGTTTTTTTCTAAATCCCTTACAATTTGAGCCTGAGACAAGTTCGTCCACTTTTTCAAATCGCTATCAGCCGTAAATGAACGTCAGAATAGACGAAGACCATCGGAATTGGTATTATGCGCGGGCCGCGCGTGTCCTCGTATATTATAGTCTTTCTATTTGGCATCTTAAAGGAAGTGATCTGACTACTGGGTAGCAGGAAGAGAGAAGACGGATTGATTCTCTATCAACGAACAGAAAGTAGCTAACATAGCTACCTGGAAACCGTCGAAGCCTGACAGAGTAGGCGTCGGCAGATAACTACATGTGTAGCATAACTCAACAGTAAGGTCTATTTGAATGTGCTATATAGATGTAGGGTTCTTGTAAGTCCCCTCCGGCCCCGGGCCCTCCTGCATACATAGGTGTGGAAATGTACTATTAGGAAGAACCGTCTTCCTGGTATCTCGCTCCTTCACGAAGGTATTCTCAAACTCAAGGCCAGAATCCTGACGTATGATTCCGTACCCAGACGATGAATCCAAAGGCCGGCTGCCATGTGCATCCGAAAAGCCCTTTGCCCGTACCATATTGTCAAGTGCCACCTCGGCAACTTTCAATCTTGCGCCGACGTCTTGGGCACAATTGATGCCATGCTGAACATCCTTGATACCGAGATCCAGGTTGGACCAAGGCGATTGACCTAGACGATATGATCAGCAAAAGAACGACAAACTCCAGTATTCACAGTTGACGCCATATCCATACCTTCTTCAGGAATGTAAACGCCCTGCGTCATACGTGTAGAGCTGGAATGAATCAAACTTCCAAAATTCAGCTCAAGTAACTTTTCAAGCATGTCCGTGCCAAGGTTGCTTTTCTCCGCTAGCACCTGGGCTTCTCCCACAATCTCCATGGTTCCTGCGACGATAAAATTACTAAATTGTGTTAGTTAGCGAGACTGCCTTGTCACCGTTTCTTTGTCACAATCTCACCCTAAAGTTTTGAGCAGAGTGGCCTTCTCGGGCTGATCCGACACAATCATCACCTCCCGAGCAAGGACACCTTTTCCAAAAGGTGCAATTTTGTCGATTGCTTGGCTTGGGCCGCCCATTGCCATCAACACAGTACCACTTTCCGCAGCCGGGGTGGCTCCGAAGACAGGTGCTAGGGTACTACATGAGAAACCACAATCCATGACATATGTGGGTTCACTTACCAGCAACGAATGATGCATTTCGCTTCTTTAGTTTTTCATCTGTCTCCTTGGTCGTATTAGGATGCACGGTGGTAGTGTCCACAAACAACTTGCCATCAATATCTTTGACAGTCAATACCTGGTCGACGATACCATTCAAAGCCGCATCATCACTGGTCTGTTGCCTGGTGTCAGTGACAGGGGTCCATTCTAGATCTGCGGGAATCTGAAAAATTTCTCTGTAGAATAAACTGCCAATTCATATACTCACAGATATGAATATCAGGTCACATTCGGCGACAAGTTGGGCGATAGACTCGCATCCAATAGCTCCAAGTAATTCAAGTGGCGCTCCGCGAGACGCCGTCCGATTCCAGAATCTTAATTGGGATTTTTTGTCTTGCTGGAGAAATCTTTGGACATTTTTCGCCATTGCAAGTCCCATATTCCCGAGTCCTAGGGGGAATTAGAGACGTCGGGCCCGATCAGATTGTTCTTCATTGCCATACCTATCCATCCCACACCTTGCTTGCAAGCATCTGACGCCATTATTGGTGATCAGTTCGTTTGTAGCGTCTATATGCTTCTTGATATGTGCAAATTATTACTCGACGTATTCCAAGGCGAAGACATCAGCAAATATACGTGACATCTCGGATGTGAGCCGAGAGATGACTCCCGAAGTCACCAATGACAGTTAACGTAATTCACACTCTCGGCGGGTGGATCAAATCAGACCACCTGGTGAACCTAACATACTGATTTCAAATGCATTTATCTCAACCAAAACGCCATTAGATTAATTCAACTAAAATGGTTTATCTAGCTGGGCATCTATTAAATCTATGCTCTATTGATCTGCACCCACTGCACCTTGGTGTAGCTCGCATACGTTATTCCCAAGCGGGTTCTCCAGGTATGCCGGGGTAGGAGTATTGCTGTCTCTTCTCCTGGCTTTGTGAGAAAACTGCCCCTTGGGACCTTATGGCGGGCATAATTAATCATCATCTGCCGAAGTCATATGGTCAGGTGACGAAGTTCACTTTGGGCTCATCAACAAAGCTCTGTATATCAGATGTTCATCCGCCGAAAATCTTACTCGTTCCTTTACTATCTTTGTTCTTGGAAACCTTCTGTTGGTGGCCTTGCATGCAAGTCATTCATAGCTTCCAAGGACTTCTCGTCCAGTGCTGACCCTGGTCCGCTCCCCTTCAAATACGTGCCGATAGAAGAAGTCGACAGAAGTGAAAAGTACCAGCCTGGTGGATATCACCCTATTCTGATAGGATATGTTCTTCAATCTCGATACCGAGTCGCCCACAAGCTAGGCTACGGAGCCTATTCAACCACTTGACTCTGCCAGGACTACTAGTCTGATACACACGTGGCAGTCAAAGTTGGAACGGCAGAGTCCAACGATGGAGAGATTGATGTCCTCAAGTATCTTAATCACTCTTCTCCACTGGATCACCTAGGCAGGACAATGATACCCTCTGTCGAAGACAGATTCGTCCTCCATGGCCCTAATGGCACCCACCCTTACTACATGACAACCCTAGCAATATGTAGTGTCTCGAGTGCGAAGGAAGGGCCATATAAACGCATCCTTCAGGCCGCGACAGCTCGCTCACTTATTGTGCAACTTGTGCTAGCCGTCGAATATATCCATAGTAAAGGGGTTTTTATAGATGTTAGTCAGCATTTCTTTACAGCTTTGCCTTTACAACTATATGCTTATACGACACCTATATCAGACCTTCAATATTGTTTTGTGTCTCCCAGCCGATTTTGATCAGCTCTCAATTGAGGAGTTATACGAAAAATACGGTTCGCCCGCGTTAGAGCCAGTTATTCGTCTTGATAGTCAGCCCCTTGAGTCTGGGGTCCCATCTAGCGTCGTCCTTCCGATTTGGCTTAGAAAAGCTCCAGAGGAATTCTCCCTTCTAGAATCTAGAGTCATACTTGGTGATTTTGGAGAGGCATACAGAGCGTCTACAGAGTACCGATATTGCTCGCACGCCCCTATGTCCTTCGTGCCGCCTGAAGCCCGATTTGAGCCAGAATGTGGTCTTTCTTTTTCAGCTGATATCTGGACACTCGCATGTTCTGTATGGATAATACTCGGCCAGCGCCTTTTATTAGAGGATATATGGACATTATAGCCGAGCAGGTTGATACTCGAGGGAACTTACCCCTACGGTGGTGGGAGAAATGGGCAGCGCGCCGCGAATATTTCGATGAAAGTGGAAAACCAAGCCAAGGTCGACAGGTGAGGTCTTGGGAAGGCGGCTTTGAAAGGCGCATTCAACTCCCACGACAACAGGCCGGAATCCCAGGTTTTGACGGTAGAAGAGAAAGCTGCTGTTATGGACATTTGGGGTCGATGCTGTCTTTTGAGCCGGAATAGCGGTTACTGCACAGGATATTCTAAAATGCGAGTGGATGGAGAGATGGGCAGCACCGGACTTTGAGAAATCTCCCTTGTGCCAGAGGAGCGGAGAATTCCCTTGAGATGTGCTGTATGTTTCCACCCGCCGGAAAATAATTCAACCTAAAGGTCATCTATTCACAGCCTACGCACGTATGTACCTATGTAGGGCTACGAAATACGTTTTGTCTGAAGATGGCAGGGGCAACAGTTATACATATAACTGGGGTGTTATCCCATAAATAGCATTAAAACTTGACAAATTTTTGAGGTGCCTATACATGGGACATATCCAAACCGCAACGCCCGGCAAAGCACTATCTAAAATGCACAAATGACCCGAGCTTTAGTTCTTCTCGCCCTTCTCGCCCTTCTCAAGCTTGCGTCTCTTGGAGCGGAGCTTGGCGGACTCATCAGCGGTCTTCTTGTTAGAGTACATCATCTTCTCAAGCAGCTTGCGCTTCTTCCGGCTCATCATCATCTTCTGTCTCTCAAGCTCCTCGTCCTCGCTGCGCTTCTTGGCGGCCACCTTCTTGGACTTGGAGGACTTCTTCTTGGCAGCTTCATCAGCGGCGGCGCTAGCGGTGAAAGGTAGACCAGCAGCTTCGGCCTCGAGCTCCTTCTGATGCTGGGTGCGGGCAGCCTCGTCGTCGTCTTCGGACTCGGATGCAGCTTCCTCGTCGAAACCACCGAAGTCTTCGTCTTCCTCAGACTCCTCTTCGCTCTCGTCGTCGTCGGTGCCGGCGACATCCATGCCTCCGTCAACGGACTCTTCCTCGGACTCCTCAGCAGTGGCAGGCTTGGCGTCAGCCGCGGGCTCGTCCTCCATCTCCTCATCGCTATCAGAGGCCTCAGCGGCAATCTCGGCTTCATCCTCATCCTCCTGATCGGCGAGGCTGGCGCGCGGGTCGTAAGCGCCGCGAGTAGCCTTGACCCAAGGGCTCAAGTGGGGTGGGAGAGTGGCACCGGGTGCGTAGAGATCGGCCCGGAGGAGCTTGCCCTCGTTAATGCAGTCCCAGACCCACTGGGGCTGGACGTACGTACGGCCAGGAATGCGGGATCCAGGCTGGACATTCTGAACGGCGTTCTCATCGGCAGCGGGAATGGCGGGAAGAGACTCCTGGGGAAGTTGGGGGCGGTCGACAATTTGGTGAGTGATGCGGGGGTCGGTCTCGTCGTGAGTGAAGGCTCCATCGCCCAGCACGGAGGCCCATCCAACGCGCTTGCATCCAAATGACCGCAGAATGAACTCGAGGGGAGCCTTGGGGGCTTCACGGGAAATGTAGAACACGAAGGGGGCGAAGAGTGCACCCGCCTCGTTGCCGCTCATCGCAGGCTGGGGGAGAGTGTCGGCTTCGGGAGCGGCGGGCTCGAAGTGATCGATGGCATCGGTTGCCTCGTCGGTAGTGTCGACCATCTCCTCATCCTTGCTCTGCTCCAAACTGGCCTTCTTGATCACATTGTCAACCTTGGCTTGAAGTTCCTTTGAAACTTCCTTGTTAGAGTTGCCGTTGCTCTGAGCCTTGCTAGCCTCAAGAGCCTTGGGCACCTCGCCCACTGTCCGGCCCTCCAGAGTGAAAGCCGCCAACTCGGCACCGTTCTCGTCGCTGCGGGTATCGAACTTAGGGGGGTATCTCAATCCAATTGAGGAGTACAGGCGGAAGTTGACGAATCCCAGCAGGGTGGTGTAAAACTCGACAAAGGTAGCCATGATACGGTAATCGACGTCACCATTGACACGCTGGACGAAACGGTATGGCACAAGCCACATAATGTCTTGGCCCTGAATCGTAGCCTGGTAGTAGATACCCTTAATGGAAAGGAAGGATCTGCGCAGAGAATTTGTCATGATCAGGTAGTGCTGGAACTCGTGGCAGAGGCGCTGGCAGAGCGCAACGGTCTTAGAAGGAACATGGTCGGTGGAGGGAAGGGTAGCGAAGAGGAAGAGAAGAGATAGAGCGTCGTCAAGATCACGCAGGGCATCGATAAAGGTCGGGTAGCGCTCTTTAATGACATGGTCCAAAGTGAGTCTCGGGGCGTTATTCTTTTCTAAGCGGGAGGCATCGCTGACTTCTCCACGGCCGAGAGAGCGGGCAATCTTCTTTGCAAGTGACTTCTGGTCACGGAACTTGTTAAGCAGAGGCTCGTGCAGCAGATACTGGATATCCTTGGTGTAATAGAAGGTGGTGTTGGGTGTAGACGTCTTAGAAGCCTTCTTCTTATTACGGGGCTCGCGAGGGTAGATACCTGATATCGGAGATCATGTTAGTCTTGCGATTCAGATGAAATACCCATAAAAGAGGCAATTACCCTTGAAGATGCATAGTCGGCGGAAGTCTGGCAAAGAGATCTGAAGTTTGCGCACGGCCTGAGTTCTGGTAATGTAGTTCTTGGCTGCGCCAGAGGTACCTGAAACGACTGTCAGTAAATTCAATTGAAATCCCCATTTCATTTCAACATACCCTTCTTCTTAATTTTGGCCATGATGAGAAGTGGTTGTCAAAAGATATAAACGGGCTGCTGATAAGAAGAGGAAAAATTTCTTGATAACTTTTTTTTCTTACCGCAACAAAGTGGCCCGTGCCCCGAAGGCGGAGAGAGAGCGCTGGGGTTCCATAGGGACCAGCTGGAACCAACAGCTAAACCCTCACCCCGTCATGGCTGTAGACCGACGGAAGATTGCTGTGTTTGGCGCGGCTTTCGTGCTGCGTCTGCTTCTTACATGTCTTTTCCCTTCATTACCCGATTTGCTAACGGGGAGAGTCGAAGTCTCAACGCCTGTCAATAGCTTCAAACGCCGTACGTGTCTCCGACTATTGACTCCGCATTCTGTAAACTAATTATGCCGTAGTGCAAGAAGGCCTGTTTTTGTACACAAGAAATGTGTCGCCTTACGATGGTGGCGTTTTCCATCAGGTTGTGGATCTAGATCTCTCCGACTTCGTTCCCTGAATTGACCATTCGATCCGATGATCTAGGCACCGCTCCTTTTACCTCTGTTCGCCCTACTCCCGAACGCGAAGAGCTGGCCCTTGCCAACAGCAATTTTCTACTTCCTTGTCGACCTCTTGAACGCGTACGCATTGTTAACCATATCTGCGTCGGGCCAATCGGTCAAATCGAGACTACACTCAGCGGTCCGAAAACATGTCCGATGGGACGGAGTGTCCGTTGCAGCATGGTATGCATATTCTGGCCTGCTCAATTATATATTACGTACTTACCACGGGATAGGTTCTTATTCAATCCTCTCACTATTGCGACATGTTTAGCGCGGTCAACCAGTGTATTTACAACATCGGGAATCCTCTTCGCCGTTTCCAATGCAGTCAGTGGAAATACCATCAATGCCATGCTAGCCTTGGGATTTGCTTCATACCTGTCCCTATACCCGGTGCTGCTCTTTATCCCGTTGGTCCTGCTATGCTATGATCGACGCTCGGAGGGATCAAGCCCACCCAATGTTGGGTCTTTCATTGTTCAACACGCTGCCCTACTGCTGGCCAGTGTGGCAGGCCTGCTTGGTCTCTCCTGTCTGATCACCGGCGACTTCTGGGAGTTTATCTCGGCAACGTATGGTTTCCATCTTTTGGTTCCAGACTTAACCCCAAACGTGGGGCTGTGGTGGTACTTCTTCATTGAAATGTTCGACTCATTTCGAGAGTTCTTCCTCGGCGTTTTCTGGCTTCACCTGGCCAGCTACATGGGGGGTCTCACGGCTCGCTTCCGCAGGCAACCTTTATTCGTCGTTACTGCACTCTTGGGTGTCTTCGCCATCTTCAAGCCATACCCTAGTATCTCGGATGCGTCGCTATTCTTTGCGTTGCTGCCATTATATCGCCACCTTTTCCCATGTGAGTATTTCCATGAGTATATCTCACAATCAAGTTGACTGACTTCGCACAGTGATGCGATATACCTTCTTCGCAGGCTCCGCAATCTTGTACTCCAGCCTCCTCGGCCCGGCTTTCTACCACCTTTGGATCTACGCAGGATCCGGAAATGCCAATTTCTTCTACGCCATTACCCTGGTCTGGAGTTTGGGTCTCTCCATCCTGTTGGCTGACACCGTCTTCGCCGCTCTCAGGGACGAGTGGGAGCAAGAATGCCCGGGAATGGTGGGCGCAGAGGTACGACAGGTGTAATGTATATTAAATTTTGCGCATTCACTATTCTCATATCAAATCATTAGCATTCAAACCCTTAACAAAGAGACATCCAGCTATTATTATTTCAACATCTTCGACAAGATCAAATAGTCCACATCCTTAATAGTCCCATTGCGCAACTTGCGCGGTCGGGGCGAGTACTCATCAACCTCATACCCAAGCCGCTCGTAGAATCGCCGAGCAGACTCATTAGACTTGAAAACCGTCAGCATAGACTTCTCCAAGCCGATAGCACGACCGATTCCTTCCATGCGACCCATCAGCAACGTCCCAGCGCCCCGTCCCCGGGCCGTCGGCGACAAATGAATTTCGTAGCAGTAAACAACCTCCTTTCCATCCTCGTAGGTAACCATAAATGACAAAAACCCGAGCACATTTGGAGAACCAGTACCAATCGATGAAAAAGACTCATCACTTTCCTTCAGAGGCGAAGTTGGAGCCTTGTTGTCGGCGATATCACTCTCCGGAATTTGCCCGCTAGAATCACCAGAATCATTCGGTGTGCCCCGCAGAATAAAATACTTCATGTCGGGCAATTTCATCTCTTTCCGCTTCTTGGTGCGCGACCAGCCTGCGCTCGACGCCATGTAGGCTGCGCTCGAGGTTTGCTCGACTAGATCCAGACATGCTTCCAGATCAGCTGCGGAGATGGTTGCTGCGGAGTGGATGTCCACGCGTGGTGTTGGGGTCATATCCTGCTTTTGCTGATTTTGGGATGGATACGGTTGATTAATCGCATCCTTTTTAGCTGGATCTCCTGCCTGCGTGAGTGGAGTCACGTATTGAGCAATGAAGTCGCCAATGGATAATGCGTTGGTCTGTTCGACCAGCGGGACTAAGCGACTATTAGCACGTGTCACTAATTGAATATGGTAGAATGAAGCAAATCAATAAAACAGGCTTTCAGGCCGAACTACGCTTGCGAGAGTGGCATTTACTCACTTCTGTTGGAGACGCGTCGGGTTGTGGTTCGCGGTCCTTTGGCTTTCAATTTCGTGACTCGGCCTTCTTTCACGGGCGGCATGGCTAGTTCAAGGATATTTCATAGGATGTCTGATAAGTCCAAGATTAAGTGCAGGTTGAATCTAAGGATTTTGGGTTCGTAGCTGAAGAATGTGAGGGGCCGGCGACCCCGGACTTTGACGGGAAGCATACGTCCGATGGTTGTGCTGCAGCCGCAACAAGCCTAACATGGGCATTACGCCGTCAAAAGATCAATCACCGGGCTTTTTGGTGAATATGCCACGACACTGATCAGTAGAAGCGGAGTCATCGAAATACGCATTTCTCCTAACATATAGCCCTGGAGGAAACGGCCCTGGAGGTTTCCAAGGTCTGTTGGACGTCCTTAATAATCCTTCCGTCACCCCGGGCCCCGGGCCCTGGCCACTTGGGTGGCCTCGATATCAACTCCATTAAGCTCATAAGCATCTTGCCCTACGTTGTACACTGCTTCAAGTATAGTGAATTTTATACAGTAAAATTGTGTCCCTCCACTATGAAACAATGGGTCGTTGAAGATAAGGAGCACGGCTTCGACGGTCTTGTTTACAAGGACGCTGCTGTTCCCAAAGTCGGCGAAAATGAAGTCATGGTGAAGCTACAAGCTGCGTCGCTGAACTATCGCGACCTAACTATTCCAAAGGTATGGTTGTGCAAGAAAATCTGACATTTCCGACCTTAAGTGAATCATCTGTGCAAGACTATTACTTCGCCATATCTCTAACCTCTCTCCAACAGGGCCCCTATCCATTTGCTCTCAGTCTCCCCGTAGTGCCAGGCTCTGATGGTGCTGGTGAGGTTGTCGAAGTGGGATCCAAGGTTGTTGAATTCAAGAAGGGGGACCAAGTTGTGACTCTCTTCAATCAGGGCCACCAATACGGCGAGATCGACATATTTGCAGCGGGCACTGGCCTAGGTGGTGTGGTCGACGGTACCCTGCGCGAATATGGCGTATTCAACGAACAGGGTCTTGTGAAGGCGCCAAGAAACCTCGATGCCCGCGAAGCTAGCACCCTACCGTGCGCAGCGCTCACCAGCTGGAATGCACTGTATGGTCTGAAGCCTCTGAAGCCTGGCCAGGTCGTTCTTGTGCAAGGAACTGGTGGTGTCAGTATATTTGGCTTGCAGGTTAGTGCCATACTGATCTACGCTGGATCGGAACGGACCCGACTAATACAGCTTGTCCTTACAGTTCGCCAAAGCTGCTGGTGCGACAGTTATCGCGACTACCTCTTCTGCCTTGAAGGCCGAGAAACTCAAGAAGCTCGGTGCCGATCACGTCATCAATTATAAGGCTGAGCCCAACTGGGGCGATGCTGCTCGCAAGCTGACTCCTGACGGAGCTGGCGTTGACCACATTATTGAAGTAGGTGGTAGCGGAACGCTCCAGCAGAGCTTCAAGTGCGTGAAGTTCGAGGGTATCATCAGTGTTATTGGCTTCCTTGGTGGCGTGGACCCGAAGAAACAGCCGACTGTACTCGAGGCATTGACTCACATCTGCACTGTGCGTGGTGTTTATGTTGGTAGTAAAGCTCTCATGAAGGATATGGTTCGAGCCATCGAGGCCAATCACATCCACCCTGTGGTGGATGACAAGGTGTTTAGCCTTGACCAGACACGGGAAGCCTATGATTATATGGTAAGTTGGTTTGCATGAGTGAGAAGGGGTCGCATGCTAACAGATTGGATGGACTTCAGTTGGCGCAGAAACACTTTGGAAAGTTGACTATCAAGATCAACTAAGTGGGATGAAAGCAGGCTAGGAAGCAGCGTTAATGGAACATACATGTAAGTTTTGCTGGTATATGCTATGACAACCTTAAGAGAGTGCGAGAGAAAAGGAAGAGAAAGCTAATACTGTAGACCTAACAGCAGGTGGCCTAGGGGTAACATGCATGTGTGTACTACGAGGGAAGTGCCGAAGATCTTCCACTACCTGGACTGTTCCAGTTCGACTCTGGTCGTTCTCGCGTATATATTTTTTTTTTCTTCCTGCTGTTTACCCTGGTAGATCTCTCAATCAACAATGAATTAAGCTTTGATAGTGGGGACATGCAAACCTATGTATACTATCCCAGTATCTCTATCGTCTTTCTGAAGTTTCTGGGCAGTTTTTCAAGAATGTGCATATATGGTTATATGAGAACTGGTTCGAAAATATGTTGATGAGAGTTGGGGTGCTCATTGTGGTAGACAATCTGGTAGACAATCTGGTAAGCAAGGCAACTGCCCTAGGCAGGTGATAGTTTCCCCACTTCCCCTGCAGGAGCTAAACCCAACTACATACGTATCTGCAAGCTTCTTTCTCTTGGTTACACTCAAGCATTCACATTTTCTATAGTCTCTTCTGAGATACTGCATAAACAAACGTTTTCCTTTTTGGGTTTCCTTATTTCCCCTAATCCAACACCCTATCTTTCTTCAATGCAGGTCCACAATAGAGACACCTCAACCCTTCCGATCCAGGGCCCCAACCAAAGTGCACGAGCTCCACAGGCACCGTTTGTTAGTCCAGCTCAAATGGCCATGTTTGCACGGGTAACATCTTATCCCCAGCTGGGACAAATCACTTGTCTCCAAACGCCGCAAATGGGATTCCGGCCTAAACAGGATAAGGTGAGTCTGCCAAACATGATATCGCCAGCAAGACTTTCCTACACTTATTGAGGGTATAATGCAAAGAGATACTGACATTGTCAACAGCTGCGTTTCACGGTTACCATCGAGTCCAGCAGATCATTCCCCGCACAATCATGGGAAGCGCAGATCTGGCATAACATCACTGGCTCCGAGTGGGGATCTCTGCCATTGCAGAGATGCAACACAGATCATGCAGCTCTATTAACCGGAAATGCTAGCGAGTACCACTGCAATCGCTATGTATTCTCAGAAGAGGTATCTCTGCCAGCCGCAGGAGGTCATGCACAGTTCACTGTCCGATTCCGAACTGGTCCAGACACAGAATGGCAGTGGGCTAATCAGATTCACCCCGTGAGCGACGGTGAAATTGTATACTGCGGACGCCATTCTGATCTGGAGAAGGCTGTCTCCACCGACGTCGCTGCACGAGCCCCCAGAGAACAACTGGAGAAGTACATTGATAATCTTCATGATGACTTACAGGTCGAGTCCCGACTTAGTGAAGCTCCTGGATCGGTCCTGTGGGCTCTTTTTAGTGATATCGATGCTGTTCAAAATGGATCTTCAACCATCAAAAAACTTGCACTTGGTATTCCTTCGTCAGTGGTGAGGTATTTCTCACTAGTGCGTGTTTCAAGCCCATGGCTGGGTCCTAGACATGGCAAAGATAAGTTCCGACTTGCTGAAGATGCAATCTTTTGCTCTTTTCTGCGCGAAGATGGCGTGAATCTGGTTCTACTGGCTGTTTCGGGAATCAGCGATATTTTGACAGTGTTTCAGTCAGGTGAGAACGGCGAAGTTGTGATCTCTGCAAAGAGTGACAATTCAGAAGCATCAAAGTTCCATGTGCTTGTCAGCGCCGCGGAGAACTTTGAAGTTGCCATGTCTGCAGTAGTCTATGAGGCACGGAAAGTGGTCAGGCCATTTTCTGGTGCGAGTCATGTGGATTTGGAAGATTCAGTCCCATTATCTCCCCCTGGTGATGATATGGTCCTTGTCGAGAAAGACCCAAGTGCACAGTGGCTTTCCGAGTGGGTTGACGGGCTCACATATTGCACTTGGAATGGACTGGGACAGGACCTTACCGAAGAGAAGATCTTGCATGCCTTGGACTCATTGAGGGCTAATGGAATCAACATTGTCAATCTCATTATCGATGATGGCTGGCAGACAAATGACAATGAAGGGCAGTCTCAATTCAAGCAAGGCTGGAAGCAGTTCGAGGCACATCCGAAGGGGTTTCCTAAAGGATTGAAACATACTGTGGGAGCCATTCGTCGAGCACATCCCAATATCAAACATGTTGCAGTCTGGCATGCCTTGTTGGGTTACTGGGGAGGTATCTCAACGGATGGGGATCTGGCTCGAAGATTCAAAACAAAGCAAGTGAAGATCAAAGATCCCGCCGCCAATGGGCCCATCGCGGAGAACCTTCCGGACGGAACAATCGTTGCAATCGATCCCGACGATGCTAAAGAATTCTATAACGAGTTCTATAGCTACCTTACGTCTGTTGGTATAGACTCGGTCAAGACAGACGCACAATTCTTCCTTGATCTCCTTGAGGACCCAGCGGACCGCCGGAGGTTCATTACTTCTTATCAAGATGCATGGTCTATCGCGTCACTCAGGCACTTCAGCACTCGGTCAATCTCATGCGGGTCAATGACCCCTCAAATAATCTTCCATTCACAAGTTCCCACCAACAAACCGACACTTCCATTACGAAACTCCGACGACTTCTTTGCGGATGTTCCAACATCTCACCCATGGCATGTATTCTGCAATGCTCATAATGCACTACTGACCCGCTATTTGAACGTATTGCCAGACTGGGATATGTTCCAGACAAGTCACCCATACGCGTCATTCCACGCTGCAGCACGATGTGTATCCGGAGGACCAATCTATATCACCGACGAGCCGGGTAAACATGACATGACGCTGCTCGATCAGATGACTGCACCTACTGTTAAAGGAATCACGGTGATCTTGCGTCCTAGTGTCATCGGACGCACGATAGACGTATACCACGACTACAACGAAGGTCATGTTCTGCGCGTTGGAAGTTACACCGGCTGGGCCAAGACCGGAAGTGGCATCTTGGGCCTTTTCAATATTCAATCTGCCGAGGCCTCGGTCATAGTCCCACTGGTGGAGTTTCCAGGAATTCATGAGGACTCCGAAGGCCAGTATATCGTGCGCGCACACAGCAGCGGTAAGATCTCGCCTCGCTTGCGGCCATTGACCAAGAAATCCTTGGTATCAGTTGTTCTGGAGCCAAAGGGCTGGGAGATTCTCACTGCGTACCCGACTCGGTCGTTCACTCTGACGGCAAGCCATGGCAGCGACTCTTCTGGTGATAGTCTGATACATGTGGCTGTTCTGGGACTTTTAGGAAAGATGACTGGCGCAGCGGCTCTAGTGACTTCAGATATGTCTGTTGTTGAGAACGGCCGTTTACGATTGGATATCAGCTTAAAAGCCCTGGGCACACTGGGGATTTACTTCTCGGATCTTCAGAGCAGGAGTATTGCACGTAATTTTATGGTCATGATTCTGGGACAGCCAATTCCACAGAATACAGTGTGGAAGCAGGGTGGAGAGAATGCTAATGTTCTGGCAATTGATGTATTGGCGGCGTGGAAATCCATGAAGTTGGAGAGTGGATGGAGTAACGAGGCCTTTGTGCAGGTTTTTGTGGGTTAAGATACACCCTCAAAGCCAGTCGTCTGTGGACTTTACATCGTGTCTTCTCGATGTAGATATTCTTCCAACAGCATCTTTACTTCAGTTGAATAGTTCACTGGCCCTAAGCCCTTAATGCAGTCCCGATTTGGAAATCGATCAACATGTCTGAGATAAGGGCCGCATCATTAATGTTCCGGACTTATCGAAAGAATCTCGGACATCTGAAGATTGACCGTGTCCAGACTTGAGTCCATTGTGAGCCGTTTCATTAATATTTGCATTCTCAAGTCGGTCCAATGCGGCCACAGTTGGCATCGCTAGGCCGAGCGCCACACCGCGGCCTTCTTACCCCTCGTCGGATCCCGTGCGGAGCGCGCAGCTTTGCCGCAACAACCGCGATTCCGCTGCGCGGTGACGGCAATCGGCCAGTATTGTCCGCTTCGCAGTCAGGCACATGCTTCCAACAGCAGAGACTTATCACACAAAAATATGTTCAGCGTGTGAAAGACGGGGAGAAGGAGTGGGCTAGATTCGCGAAAGAAATCAAGGCCGGGAACAGGAAGAACTTCGCACAGCACCTGGAGGAGCGAGGCTTGATTCATGATGTTGTCGGGTATGTTACACCAGGATACAATTGAGTAGATGGCATCGGCTGTGGGAAGACGTTTGAATGGCTCGCTAATCGTATCCTTTGGATTACAGCGAACGGGACTTGTTGCATAAGGTCTTCACGGAGAAGCGGGCTGGAATATATGTTGGAATCGACCCGACTGCCCCCTCAATGCACGTTGGACACATGCTTCCTTTTATGGTTTTGGCCTGGGCATACGTCTGGGGCATACCTGTGACATTCCTAGTAAGTCGCCTGCCACTTCAAGCCCAATTGAATGCGCCAACTAACACTCTATAGCTCGGCGGTGCTACTTCTAGAGTGGGCGATCCCAGTGGGCGTCTCAAGGGTCGAGACGCTGTCCATTCCTCAATCCGAAAAGCAAATATGGCTAGCATGCATATGCAGTTGAAGAAGTTGGGCTCGAGCATTGAGCAGTACGGCAGGAGACACGGACACGAGAGGAACCCGATGTGGAAGCGGGCGTTAACGAACAACAACACTTGGTGGAACTCGATGCCTTTCCTTGAGGTCTTGCGAGACCTCGGTGCTTTCATGCGACTTGGTCCCATGCTCGGCAGAGATACGTGAGTTTTGGATCGTCTGACGGGGCTGTTGTGGCGAGTTTACTGACGTTTTCTATCAGTGTGAAGACCCGGTTGAGCCAAGGGGATGGCATGTCATTTGCTGAGTTTTCCTACCCTATTCTCCAGGCCTGGGATTGGTGGACGCTGTTCCAAAAGGGCACTCAAATCCAAGTCGGAGGTGCCGACCAATATGGAAACATCCTATTTGGTATGGAGGCTGTCAAGTCTATCAGCCGAAACACTGCCGACGAACAAGTCCGCAACCCATTAGAATCAGAACTAGATCGGCCGATCGGTTTCACTACGCCGCTACTGACAACCCCGTCCGGCGAGAAGCTTGGCAAGTCTGCTGGAAATGCTGTTTGGCTCGATAAGGACCTGACTTCTACATTCGAACTTTACCAGTACTTTGTGCGCACGCCTGACGATGTTGTCGAGCATTACCTCAAGCTATTCACTTTCATCCCCTTGCCTGAAATCGCCAACATCATGGAGGAGCAGAACAAGGATCCATCTAAGCGTGTTGCGCAGCACAAGCTCGCCGTTGAGTTCGTCGAGCTTATCCATGGCAAAGCCGAAGCTGATGCTGTGGCTCTCCAACACCGGCAGCTTTTCCGTCCCCGATCCTCAACCGCAGAGCCCACTCCTCTTCTTAAGTCATCGGCTCCTTCCTCTGGCCATCCGCAATCTCCCACCGCTGGCTTCGAGACTCCTCAGTCTGGGAACCCATATGCCCCCCAAACAAACTGGGCCAACATGGGCGATATCAAGGTCACCCTCCCCGAATCTCTGGTTTTCAACCAGCCGTTCAACAAAATTCTGTGGTCAGCCGGCCTTGTTTCATCCAAGAGCGAGGGCCACCGAGTCATCGTCAACAACGGCGCTAAAGTCGGAAGCCGTCCTGGCGACAGTGGTCCCATGTCCGACCAATTATCCTTCACACCCATCCGTCCGTGGGACGCAGAGAAAACAAGAGAGTTTGTCTTGAATGGCAATCTCCTGATGCTAAAGTTGGGCAAGTGGAAGCTCAAGGCCGTTCACATTGTGACGGATGAAGAATATCGCGCGCAAGGGCTCACAGCTCCTGGATGGGAGACTGAGCCGATTGAGGAGACTGAGCCGACTGAGCCAACCAAGTCGGACTAAGGTCAATTTCCACTAGATCTGTAATTCTACAATATCCAATCTGTACAATAGTATAATATTATAACATCATATTCACCCCTCAAGACAAACAAAACCCGAGTGCTCCGTAGTAATAGTAAGGAAAGACAATGTCTCGGGTGTCGATCAATGGACAGGTCGAGTCGGAGAAAGTGTTTTACGCGTCGACGCGATCCGCGCCTTATCTCCTTCCCGTCCCCAGTTCCCTCGCAACTCCCTAATTACCATGTTGACTTGAGAGTATATTGCCATTTAGTCTCAATTCTTTATTCTATAAGATATGGCCAAACCATCGGCCTCATCTCCGTCCGCTGTGTCGCCATCGCCCGCGCTCAAGCGCACCACTCCTAGCACACAGAATATGCGAAGCCAGAAGTCAATTCTTGGTTTCTTCCAAAAGTCCTCGCCAGCGACTCCCTCGAATGATCGAACGCGAGAGCCGGCCTCGTCCCCCGCACAGAGAGCCTCCGAGAAGCGTAGTGAGAGCGCTGTCAAGTCTACACCGAAGGAACAGAAGCGAAGCTTCTCAAGCTTTGCGCAGGATCTGAGTCCTGTACCAAGCAGCGATCTTCCAGTACCAGAGGACGAACAGGAAAATGGTAGCGCTTTGAAGGTATATTGATCTGGAGTCTGCTGCTTGTTTGCTCCTTCATTCTGACTGAACTCTTCTCTCCTCAGACCACCAAGGAGGCACAACAGGACTCCACCATGTCGCCTTCGCGTCGGGTACGTGTACCATCTGCCTGCTCAATTGATCTACCCTGCTCACTTATCTCACCAGGGAAAAAAGCAGATCAGCTACAAGGAGTCTGACTCCGAGGGCGAGGACGACGACGAGGTTATCTTCCGTCCTAACCGCAAGGACCGTGTCTCCGGCCGTGCAGCCAAGAGAAGACGAACTGAACCGGAAAGCGAAGACGAGTTCAATGATGCAGGTGATGGAGGATACTCGGACGATGGTACGGTGTTTTTCTGCTGATTGGTTTGGCTGGTACACGACTGACCGGGGTATAGAAATGGACGATTTCGTCGTTGCAGATGACTCTGATGAAGAGATAGCCACATCTTCCAACAAGCGGAAACGACCATCCACACAATCTGCACGCAAACCTACATCCAAGTCTTCCTCCGTCCCTGCTCCTCCCCCGCCCGCCGATGACATTGATCTTGACCTCCCAGAGGGAGAAGGTTCAGCTGGAACCGCGATGAAATGGGCGTTTGATCCGGAGAACACAGAACCTCGGAAAGAAAGAGCTGTTGTGTCGTCCACGAGGACAGCGTCCAGCGCGAAGAAAGAGAAGGCCCACATCAAGGAGCCTGAGCAGCGCTATTCATGGCTTGCTAATCTCAAGGACATCGATGGTAACCCCCAGGGCCACCCCGACTACGATCCCCGAACTGTCTACATCCCTCCGCTCGCATGGTCAAGATTCTCGCCTTTCGAGAAACAATACTGGGAGATCAAGCAGAAATTCTGGGATACTGTCGTTTTCTTCAAGAAGGGCAAGTTCTACGAGCTCTACGAGAACGATGCCACCATTGGTCACCAACTTTTCGATCTCAAGCTCACAGACAGGGTGAATATGCGCATGGTCGGTGTTCCCGAGATGAGTTTAGATCACTGGGCGAACCAATTCGTGGCCAAGGGTTTCAAGATTGCCCGTGTGGATCAATCCGAATCCGCGCTGGGTAAAGAAATGCGTGAGCGAGAGGGCAAGAAGCCCACCAAAGACGACAAGATCATCAAGCGAGAGCTTGCATGTGTCCTTACTGCGGGTACGCTGGTCGAGGGTTCCATGCTCCAAGATGATATGTCCACGTACTGTGTTGCGATCAAGGAAGCGATCGTGGACGAGCATCCCGCGTTCGGTATTTCATTTGTGGATACTGCTACGGGTCAATTCTTCTTGTCTGAGTTTGTGGACGATGTTGACATGACCAAATTCGAGACTTTTGTCGCGCAGACCCGCCCTCGCGAGTTGCTGCTGGAGAAATCTTGCGTTTCGCAGAAAGCCATGCGCATTCTAAAAAATAACACTGGACCCACCACTATCTGGAATTTCATGAAACCAGGTAGGGAGTTCTGGGAGTCCGATATCACAATTCGGGAGCTTGAGGCAAGTGAGTATTTCGTCTCCGTGGACGATGATAATCTCACAGCCTGGCCCGAGACCCTGCGTCAAGCCCGCGAGAAGGAGTTGCTGATGTGTGCATTCGGTGCTCTGGTCCAATATCTGCGGATGCTGAAGATTGAGCGTGACTTAATCACCATTGGCAACTTCACATGGTACGATCCTATCAAGAAGGCTACGAGTCTCGTACTGGATGGCCAGACCCTGATCAACATGGAGATCTTCGCCAATTCCTTTGATGGCGGGTCTGAGGGCACTCTCTTCCAGTTGCTCAACCGATGCATCACGCCCTTCGGCAAACGCATGTTCAAACAGTGGGTATGCCACCCATTAATTGATTCAAAGAAAATCAATGCAAGACTGGATGCAGTTGATTCGCTCAACGCTGATCCGAGTACTCGGGACCAATTCTCCTCCCAGTTGACAAAGATGCCGGATCTCGAACGACTGATCTCTCGTATCCACGCTGGTAATTGCAAGGCTCAGGACTTCGTACGTGTCCTGGAAGGATTCGAACAGATCGATTATACCATGGGTCTTCTCAAGGAAAGTGACACTGGCTCAGGCGAAAGTGTTATTGGTCAGTTGACAACAGCGATGCCCGATCTTGCCTCTCTGCTGGGATACTGGAAGACCGCATTCGATCGTCCAAAGGCAAAAGAGAATGGAATTCTTGTTCCGGAGTCCGGTGTTGAAGAAGATTTCGATAACTCCCAGGAGAACATTGAGCAACTCCACCGGGAGCTCGACACCTTGCTGAAGAAAGCTCGCCGGGATTTGGGGTCGTCTGCTATCTGCTACCGGGACAACGGCAAGGAAATATACCAACTCGAGGTTCCGATCAAGGTGAAGAACGTTCCTAAGGATTGGAACCAGATGTCTGCGACCAAACAGGTCAAACGGTACTACTTCCCCGAGCTCCGAAGCCTCATTCGCAAGTTACAAGAGGCCCAAGAAACCCACAGTCAAATCGTTAAGGAGGTTGCTGGACGGTTCCATGCCCGGTTCGATGAGCATTACAGCACATGGCTGGCTGCCGTTAGAATTGTATCGCAGCTGGACTGCCTTATCAGTTTGGCCAAGGCTTCTGCGGCCATCGGTCATCCTAGTTGCCGACCAGTGTTTGTGGACAATGAACGAAGTGTCCTCGAGTTTGAAGAGCTCCGTCACCCTTGTCTTCTTTCCTCTGTCGAGGACTTTATTCCCAACGATATCCAGCTGGGTGGCAATCACGCTAGCATTGACTTGCTGACCGGTGCTAATGCCGCCGGAAAGTCTACTGTCCTCCGAATGGTGTGTCCACCCCGCCCTCCCTCCTTTGCTTTAGTGATATTGCTAACAATGATAGACCTGCGTTGCCGTCATCATGGCCCAAATCGGTTGCTACCTTCCCTGCCAGTCAGCCCGACTGACCCCAGTCGACCGGATCATGTCTCGACTCGGTGCAAACGACAACATCTTCGCTGCTCAGTCGACGTTCTTTGTCGAGCTGTCCGAAACAAAGAAGATTCTTTCTGAAGCTACTCCACGCTCACTCGTCATCCTTGACGAACTCGGCCGCGGAACTAGCTCTTATGACGGCGTCGCCGTGGCCCAGGCGGTACTTCATCACATCGCTACCCATATCGGAGCCCTGGGCTTCTTTGCCACCCATTACCACTCTCTTGCCGCCGAGTTTGAAAATCATCCCGAGATTGCACCCAAGCGCATGGCCATCCATGTCGACGATGTCGAGCGCCGTGTAACATTCCTGTACAAGCTTGAGAAGGGCGTTGCCGAAGGCAGTTTCGGTATGCACTGTGCGTCCATGTGCGGGATTCCCAGCAAGGTCATTGAATGTGCGGAAAACGCCGCCAAACAATGGGAGCACACGAGTCGGCTCAAGGAGAGCCTTGAACGCCGTAAGGTCGGTGGCTTCGTCGGTCTGGGCTGGTGGAGTGATGTGGCCTGGGCCTTGCGTGAGTCTGTTACAGAGGAAGACTCGAATACAGGCGATGCCTCTGATCGCGGCTTGGATATCTTGATGAAGGCAATTGAGGCGCTTTAGTGGTTGGGATACTTGTTCGGTCGTGCTTCGTTTCTCATTTCATCTTCATAATGTGGCTTTATGATATTTGTGTCTATCTTCCACTTCACTTGGCCCATCGTGTCGGCTTTCATTCTGTTTTCTATATGTTGGCTCAAGGGGGGGTCTGTTCGGTTATCTCGTCGGGCTTCACGAATCTGATCTCCCATTCCTACATATGTATGAATATGCATATCCAGAGCAAAGCATGTTTTTTTTTTTTTTTTTTTTTTTATT